TTGGGGGGGTTATTTAATTATGAGAACCATTTGAATCTTAGCCAGCAGATATTTACAAATAAATCACCCATCTATGAATCATAATCATCTTTCTTTGCTCATTAATGCATAGACCCTACTTCATCTTATTGTTCTGCTGGTGCTGTCTGTGCTTGAACACAATAATATACTGCATTTCTTTACAAAATATTGGCAAAGATTGCTATTCCATAATAGAAATGAGCTGGCCCTACCTTGAGTCATCTGTCTTCTGTTTGACACGTGTTCTATCTCACTTATTGCCTCATGTTTCATAAGTGCTCATTTGCAAAATTTTCATCTGCTCGTTCATAAGCAACACATGCTGTGTCATCTTCATGGTCACATGAAGACAAATTTGGGAGGTTTTGTAGGAAGGAAATTTTGAGACATTCAAACACATGACTATATTCAGCCTGCTTTAAAAAAAAAAAAAAACCTGCTTCTTGGAGAGAATAAGGAATAATTTTATCTTCCAACTAGGAATCGGAGTCTTATATGCCATTTAAAGAAAAAATTCATGAAGCCAGGTTGCTGACTTCAATAGAGGGCAATTTTTCATCAGCCAGGTCTGTCAAATCCATTTTATTTCACAAATTGGACAGCCGTATCTGTATGTTCTCTATCAGCAACAAGAAAATGGTATTCTTTTGATTGGTAGTATTGGGTTTTATTTTTGGATGTTCTCACTTTTTACCAAGGGTGAGGAAAAATATCCAGACAGTATTCAATATTTTTGAAAGCACATGATATTTACAAACAATAAGACCAGAATAAAACTTAAAGCATTTGGTAGACATTACTTCATGAACCTCAGAACTGGTGGTGAGACAAAATGGAGGCAGAGACAACAAATATTTACTGAGGGCCTATTGTATGCCAGGAACTGGACTGGGATAAAGCATCATTTATAAAGGTCATCTCCTCTAGTCCCCACAAGCCCTACGAAATGGGTTCTCTTATCCCCATTTGAAAGGTAAGAAAACTGAGGTAGGTGAAATGAGTGGCCAAAAGTGGCACAGAGGAGAAATGTAAGGAAACCAGGATTCAAATGCAGGTCTGCAGCTTCAACGCTCATGCTCTGAGTGCCTTACAATGAGGGAAAAAAATTTGGAAATAATCTAAATGGCAACATAGGAATTGATTGAATCAATGGTAGTATATCCATACAAAGCAGTCATGGCAAAGGATGGTAAAGATCTATTTTTGACATGAAAAGGTGTTAACATGTCAAATAAAAGATTATAAACACAGAATATATGATCCTTTTTGACCTATAACTTGGTATATATATTCGCATTAAAAGGTTATCACTGGGTGGCAGGACTTGACATAGGTTCTTTTTGACTTGTTTTTACTTTTTTTGGTTTTATTATTGAAGTTCTTTTTGCAAGCTAGGAGTAACAGAACACAATAAAGAATACCCATTCAAAACAAAGAAAAATAAATATTTAGGGGTTGCAGGGGAAATACCGGAGGCATCACCAACCAAGCTAGGCATAAGAAAATTACACCCATTGTCATTGCTATTATTCAACACCATTCTGGAGGCTCTAAAAAATTCTAAAGAAGCCACCAAAAAGCTATTAATTAATAAGACCATTCTATGGGTGCCTGGGTGGCTCAGTCAGTAAAGCGTCTGCCTTCGGCTCAGGTCATGATCCCGGGGTCCTGGGATCAAGTGCTGTGTCAGGCTCCTTGCTCAGTGGGGACTCTGCTTCCCCCTTTCCCTCTGCCGCTCCCCCTGCTTGTGCTCGCTCTCAAAAGCTTTTTAAAAAAGACAATTCTAACGAGATCCAATATAGATATATCAAAGCTTTACAACGGCTTCAGGAGTTGGCAAACTTTTTCCTTACAGGTCAGAGGGTCAGTATTGTAGGCTTGCGGGCCATGTGGTCTCTGTAGCAACTCCTCGACTCTGCCGCTCTAACACAAAAGCAGCCAGCCGTGAACAATGCCTAAGTGAACGGATGCACAGTCTCCCAATGAAACTTAGTTGTAAGAACAGGCAGTGAACTGGGTTTGGCCCACAGGCCATAGTTTGCTGATCCCTACTTTATACCACCAAAAACAAAGAAAGAAACAAAACAACAACAAACAACAACCAGTTGATGGAGAAGACTCAGCAAGAAAATACATAAAAACCTAGAAATAACTTTCTGAAGGGCGATTCAGCTGTATGTATACATCAAAAATTAAACTGTGACAACTCTTTCAATACAACTCCGTTTCTGGAATACACATGGCTCTTTATTACAGTGTTTTATATATATATTATCCATGTCTATGAGAAATACATCATTTTTAAAGCACATGACAGTGGTATGCCTAACTTTAGCTAGGTTTTTTAAATAGATGGGTGTGCACATGAGGTTTTGCATATGTACCCACAAATGGAAAAAAAAAAACCCTGGAAAGATGTATACCCAACTGCTCCATTAGCAGTTATTTCTATGGGTGAATTTATGAGCAACGTTCTTACTTTTTGCATTTAATTTTTGTTTCTTTGTACTTTCCCAGCTGAGCTTATAAGTAAAATTTTTCATTTTTAAAAGCAAGCAAACAAAAAACCCTGTGTGCCGCTCAACAATTTAGTCTTATTTCTACGAATGCTCAAGAATCTCATACACAGTGTCCTCTTCAAGAAAAGCACATTGGTACTGATTTTCATTTCACATTAAGACATCACTGGGAAGTGCTTTAAATTGTTCTAACTGCTTCATGCCCTGAAGATAGAAATCTTCTGGCTCAAATAATGTGTAAGGAGCATCTATCTGCAAATCTTATCTTTTTCTTATCCTTCAGTGACATTTCTACGGGCAAGACTATGTGTATGCACATACATGCACCTGTGCACACATCTATCTAGGAAGAAAAGCCAAAGAAGGGAAACCAGGAAATAGGCAAGAATGGTAGGTGAAGGACCAATGTGAGTTAATACGATACAGGGAAAGAATTATTAAATTCATTTCTCAAGGTCTTATCGTTCTATAGTATGGGAACCTCCCCTGTTGGGTTAGGGACAAACTGACATTATTGCACATTCTTATTCTAATTTATGAAACTTTTAAGTCCTCCTAGAAAATTTAAGTCCATATGATTTATATTGTGAAAAGTTATGGATAAGTTGTGAAGCTTAAGCACATTTTTCCTTACAACTGGCAATAGGTATCTAATCACTGTGCCAATAGTTACAGTTGTTAAAACATATAAATTGAGACACTTAATTTTCACGTACTTAAAATCTTGGGAAAATGGAGATGGAGTAGAGAGAAAAATGATGGATTCTTCTAACTTCTCAGAAATTCTGGAGTTCAAAAGTCTCAAATATCCAAAACACAGGAAAAAAAAAAAATTCGATGATGGAACAGAGAAAACATACCTTTTTCACTTCACATTTGATCCGAAAGTTTCTTGGAAAGATTAGATTTTCTAAAAGCTCTAGATCCTATTATTTTACACACTGGATGAAAAAGAAAAGCTTTAGATGGCTGAGTTCGGCAAATGCAATGCTCTAAACCTCGGGCTACAGCACAGTACTACCTCACGCTAACGGAGAGAGCAGGAAGCTTCTTGTGCTAGATGAGCGCGCTCTCCCTGCCCAAGGATGTCCTCATCCCTATGCCCAGACCTGTGCCTGTGCGTCCCTACATGGCAAAGGCCCCTTGCAGGTGGGATTCAGTTAAGGATCTTGAGGTATAGAGTGATCAGGTCATAGAGCGGGGCCCTACCTCCATAAGTAGCAGAGTCTTTTCATAAGAGAAAGAGAGAGGAGATGTGAGGAGGGAAGTCAGAGGTCAGCGTGGAGAGAGATCTAAAGATGTGGCAGGGGCCATAAGCCAAGGAATAAAGGCACTTGCAGGAGCTGGAAAAGCCAAGGGCATGTATTCTCCCCTCGAGCCCCTGGAAGCCCTGCCAACTCATTTAGACTTCCAACCTCCAGAATTTTAGGATGATAAACTTGTGTTGTTTACAACCAAAGAGTTAAAAATAAATAAATTCTTTCTAGATGTTATGTGGCATAACTCAGTTATCAAAAAAAGAAAAAACCTTCCTTTTCTAAAAGATTTTTTTAATTTATTTATTTGAGAGAGAGAGCGCGCACAAGCAGGGGGAGCAGCAGAGGGAGAGGGAGAAGCAGGCTCCCGAGGAGCAGGGAGCCTGATGTGGGGCTCAATGCAGGGCTTGAACCCAGGACCCTGGGATCATGACCTGAGCCGAAGGCAGATGCTTCACCAACTGAGCCACTCAGGCGCCCCGAAACACACACATTTTTGCCTTCCCAAAACAGTTACCTTATCTGGCCTTACCATCTCCCTACTTCCATCCTGAAGTGCCTTCCTCCAATAGCTCAGTAAAAAATAGATCTAATGCGAACAGAAGTGCCTCTAGTAAAAGACTCTTCCAAGTTTTGAAGTGTGTATGCACACACACATGTATGTGTCCATACGCATATGTGAGTATGTGTGTGTGAGCCTGTCATTACTACGGAGGCCATGGGAGAAAAAAAAAAAGTCCCCCCCAGAGCCAAGTCAGAAGTTAACAGGAACAATATGACAAACACAAGGTCATCCAGAGTTCTCAAGAGACAATGCGGTGTTAAGTACATTTTGTAGCCATGAAAATCCAGGATGTAAATAAGCATGTGATGAGGTTTGCTCTGAACAGAATAAATATATTTATATAAAATAACTTTCATTAACTATTCCTTTGTTACCAATCTCAAGGAAATGCTCGTTATCCTTCAGCAGAATTTACTATTAGCTAATGCAAACATAATGAAACCTCTGCTAGGCTTATATTCGAGATCTGGGAGACTGAAATCCCACTATTTTCCTTTCAATCTTCCATTTTAAAAAATCTTGGAAATGACTTTAATATAGTTAAAAAGTAATCAGGCATGCTTCAAATCCAAAACTGTGTTTTTTCGGTCAAGTACTGCTCTCTGTAAAGTGTGTCACCAACCCCCAGTAGAAACTTACCCTTCAACTTGAGGTCAACGTTATGTCTCAGCCAAGGGTAAACCCCATAGCTTGGCATATCTTCAGGAATCGGATTACTGTTTATCCAGCCATCACAAGCAAACCGGAAGAAATTATCACAAGGGTCCACAGAGAAATTTACCTTACTCAAGATGGCAGCAGCTATTTAAAAAGAAAATCATAGGATTAATGACAAGCACTGAACACTATGTACTGTTCTCTTCCAAATTAAACAACCATTTCCTATCCACCAGTTCCCAAGCCTTGGCTTTTACTTTTCCTCTCAAATGACTCCCTGAATCAACTTCACTATATTACATTACTGTATTCAGATTGAGTGGGATTCGTGTGAATGGTTTTTGCAGGACTGCCTCTGACATCTGCGCCGCATGGGATAGGAATACAAATGGAGTCTACAGTAAACTGTCTGCAAGGAGGAGTGCAACCTTTCCTTCTATCCCGCTCATCCTTCTGCAAGGTGATTTTGCAACTCAGCCCATCAAGCAATAGGATCTATTTTCCCTGCCTTGAATCTGGGTTGTCCTTGCGATTTGCTCTAACAGAATATAGCAGAGCGACTTTTCTTGAGTTTCAAAACTAGGCCTTAAAAGGCCCTTGTACCTTCCATAGTAACTCCCTTTGATTGGAGCCCTAAGACAGACCTTTGAAGAAGCCTTCTGGAGGAGGCGAGGCCACATGGAAAATAAGCCAGTCAGCACCAAGTGCCAGACATGTGACTGAAGCCATCATGGACCTTCCAGGTCAGATGACCCTCCGGCTGAATGCAGCTGTATAAATGAGCCTAGGCAAGAGCAGCAGAGGAACCCCCAATGAACCCACAGAATAAGAAATATTAAACCACTCATGTTTTAAGCCTCTAAGATTTGAGGGTAGTTTGTTCCACAGCATAAGCTGAGTGAAACAGAGGCCTGTAAGTCATATTGAAATATATAAAGGATATATTCAATATACCTCCATAAAGACCTGGAAAAGCCAGGTATGAATTCCTGAGCCCCTGGACGTTTAGTGTAGCTCTCAGAGGAATGAACCCCTGGAAGAGACCCCCATGGGCCCTGCAGAGAGGCTCAGGGCCATTTAGCAGGGAATTCGGGCTTATAAAAGGATATGGCTGCTAACCTGGCCCCTGGACTATGGGAGAGGCATGGCCAGAGGAGGGCAAAGTGGGCATGGGGCCTAGGGCAAGGGCCCCTCCTGCCCAGGTGTCAGGGCAGAACTGAGTATGTATATAAGTTAACAGAAAGACACAACAGACTGATTTACCTTTTCTTCCTCTTTCATGAGCCCACACACAATTACATATGCAACACAGTCAACAAGGAGGAAGTTTGTGCATACTTAATATATAACCATGAGCTTTAAAAAATCTTTCATTAAAAAATGAGGTTCTTGGGGCATCTGGGTGGCTCAGTCAGTTGAGTATCTGACTTCGGCTCAGGTCATGATCGCAGGGTCCTGGGATTGAGCCCCACACTGGGCTCCACACTCAGCAGGGAGTCTGCTTCTCCCTCTCCTTCTGCCTCTCCCCACTGCTTGTGCTCGCTGGTGCTCTAGCTCGTGCACACTCACTCTCTCTCAAATCATAAAATCTTTTAAAAAAATGAGAAGATTCCAAAATTCCTAATACTGAGCTCCAACTCTCTTCCAACTGTCATACAACTGCTGGCTACCACTCAAACACAAAGATATGCACCAATTAAAAAAAAAAGGCAGCCAATATTTTAATGACATTGGAAAGATGACATTGTGTAATTTTCATACATTAATTAATGCCAGAATATATTTATTTGAAGTAATGAAAACCCAATGAGTTTTCAGCTAAATATGAAGGAATTGCCAAAAAAAGTATCATCTGCATATATTTATATATGCTGGTTATCAGTTTGGTTACATGTGTCCTCCAGGTTCAAAACTAAGGCTAGATATTTTTCTAGCCTAGACTTGCTATGCAAATTTTCAACAGCTTTTCGTCCTTCATAAAGTGAATGATATAGAAATATCCTAAGTTTCTACAGGACTTCAAAATCCCCAGCACTTTCCCCCTTTCCAAAAAAATCAAAGCAAAAAACTAGTTTAGAGGGGCACCTGGGTGGCTCAGTGGGTTAAGCATCCAACTCTTGATTTTGGCTCAGGTCATGATCTCAGGGTTGGGAGACTGAGCCCCACATCAGGCTCCACACTGAGTGTGGTCGGCTTCAGATTCTCGCTCTCCCTCTCCCCCACCCCCCAACTTGTGCTCTATTAAAAAAAAAAAAGTAAAATAAACTGGTTTTAGAAGTTTGATCAATTTAAAACTGGCTTAATATTTTCATGTTCGAGAATTCAGTGGTCTCCAATTATATTTTACTTACTGCTACTATTTTATCATATTAGTATGCAAATAAGCTAGGACATACCAAATCTTTATTTGTTTGTATTTATGATTCTGGCTGTGCAACCACAGAACGAATCTGCTATGGGACACTCCAGGGGCAATGATCATACAAGTGTCAGTGCCACACAATATTTACAGTCACCAGAAGAACCCTCACACACATTTTTATTCACGTAAGCACACTGTCTTCTGGCCGCCTTCCCAAACCTCCCCCTGCCCCCAACCTAAAATATGTCCTCTCCATCTCCTCAGTATTCTTGCAGGTACCAACAAAATCTGCAAGATCAGCTCTGACCTCAGCCTTGACAGAGTGGGGAAATACATCACTCACAGAGAATGTGGAAGTCAGCCCGCTAAGTGGGAAAACTCTAGTTTCAACCTCCTAATTCATCATTCATCATTCACAGCTGGGCACAGGGCTGCACTTTCTGCAGAACTGAGACTTCAAATTGCAAGGGACCGTAGTTGTCAAGACACCACAACTCCTTTCCCCCTGTTCAGTTCCATAGAGAAAACTCAAAGAGACTTGTTTTAATAAAGAAATACGATGATCAAAGAAACCTGTGAAAGGCCCAACTATGTGTCCTCTCCAGTTACTGCATAGAAGGTCAGTGGTTACGTGGTCTCCTATTAGTGTTTATTTAGAGCTAGAGGCACCACACCCCATGTACCAGCCTGAGCTTTTAAGTGTAATCAGGGCTCAAGGGAGAGGGTGGTGTTAATAGTAAAATCATTAATATTGAGCATTTCCTCTGTGCCAGGAACTATGCTAAGCCCTTTTCAGAAAGTACAGCATCATCTAGAGCCAGACCACCTGGATTTAAATGCCAGCAACACCATGCAAAAGCTATGTAACCTTGGGCAGGTTAGTAAACCTCTCAGTTTCCTCATCTGTAACAAGGGATAATAATCGCAACCCACGGGAGCTTCATGAGAATTAAATGAGTAAATACACATGAAGTGTTTAGAAGAGTGTCAGGCACACTGACAAATAAATACGGTTGCCAGATAAAATACAGAATGCCGAATAAAACTTGAATTTCATATCAATGGCAGCTTTTATATTATGTACCAAATATTGCAGGGGACATATACAAAAAAAAATAGCAGCCTTATTGTCTATCTGTAATTCAAATTTAACCGAGCATCCTGAACATGTATGTATGTAGCTAAAGCTGGCAACCTTACAAATTTTTGGTATTATTTTTGCTATTCCACAAATAGTTATCTGAAACTCTTGAGTTATTTTTCAGAGCTCATAAATTTTCAGATTTTAGAAAACTAATACAGTGCATAGACCACAGCAATGTCTGGAGTGGCACTCCTGAAGTAAGCACATTAATAATTCCATAGGAAATATATGCATATTTTCCTAGGTGGGATAAACAAAGTCCACAACAGTCTCATGAAAGATCTAGTTTTGCCATCACAACAACTGAAATCGGGTCCAGTCTTGCCAACTGACATGTTACGATGTTCTCTGGGTCTGGGGTTAAGAATCACACACTGTGGACCTGGAATACTACTACAACCAGCACCATTATTTTCTTCTATTCTCACACCTAGAATGCTAAGTAAGAACAGTATTCCCATTTTACAGATGGTAAACAAGAGACTTAGGATGGTTATTCAATTAACCCACGATCATGTGGCTTTTAAGTAGCCAGATCATGCTTCAAACCCAAGTCAGCCTGTCAGCCCTTATCCCTATTTAGCATACCCTTTCCTTGCAATTTTTTCCACCTCTTATTTTGAAAGAGGGATTAGGAGAAGAGGAAATGGACAAGAGGAGGAAAAGAGAGCTATGGAGAGGAGGCATCTCACAAAGGGGTGGCACCTGCTCAGAAATGGTCCAGACAGGATCAAACACTTCCACCTCCTGAGCTTCCGTCCTGCATGACCAGGCATGCGCACACCCCCTCGCCCCCCCCCCCCCCCCGGCGCCTTTGCGCTGCTTTTCATTTAAGACCTTCCCAGGGACACATTTATGCGGTGAGTACCTAACAGCTGTTCTGCAGGTCCCTAAGCACAGTGAGGCTCATGTTACACTGAAGAGGATGGATCCTTGGTGAGCCTTTTGTCACAGAAACGGAAAAATCGGTATTTTGTTTTTCAATATTAAAAAGCCATTCACCAACGTGAAAATTAAAAACAACAGCAAGGCAAAACAGACTAGCTGGCAGGAGACGACATTATCAAATGACATTCTGTAAGTCTTACTCTTGCATTATTATGATTTGTAATAAAGAGAAAACCCGTACAGTAAGTGGCTCTCCATACAAAAAGTTGCCTAAACGCAAATTGAAAATGTTTTAGTTCAAAAAAATCTTTTTCACACATCTGCAAGGACCCAACCACAGCAAAATCACAAGGTGACGTGAAGTCTAAACCGTGACCTGCTGACAGTTCCACCTGGTGTCCCACTCCACTTCAAGTCATCACTTTCCATTGAGAAACCCTAGGTCAGCCGCTGAAGCTGGAAACAGGAAAGGGTATGGGAATTCCCAAATTGTTCTCAACCTTCCCGGGAGGAGATGGAGAAGCTGAAACAGCTGTCTAGTCACCAGACACTAGTAGGTCCATTGTTATGAAAAAGGCAAGACAGCACCAAGGCCAAAGAGTAACCTGGCATGGCCTTATTGCACCAAAGCCCTGATGGAGAGCAAACAGACATGAACTTGAAGCCCAGCCCAGTAGCTAACTCAGGCTGTGACCCTGGGCAAATTATTTAGCTTCCAGAAGCCTCCATATCCTCATCTGTAGTTGGGCCTGGTGATAGCACTGACATCATGGGGTTCTTATGAAGATTTTATGAGAGCATATGTAAGTCACTTAACAATGCCTGGTTAAAAAACACATACTGATCACTTAAAAATGGGACAAAAGGGCGCCTGGGTGGCTCAGCCGTTAAGCATCTGCCTTCAGCTCAGGTCATGATCCCAGCGTCCTGGGATCGAGCCCCACATCGGGCTCCCTGCTCGGCGGGAAGCCTGCTTCTCTCTCTCCCACACTCCCCCTGCTTGTGTTCCCTCTCTCGCTGTGTCTCTGTCGAATAAAGTCTTTAAAAAATAATTCCAACAACAACAAAAATGGGACAAAAAATAACAATTGTCTAACCCCTTATCTTTGTATAAGGCCTCTGAATTTAAAAGCTCTTTCGCCTGAGTCTTTTCCATCTCAACAAATGCCACTGCCAAAAATCTAAGCATCACCTTGATTCTCTGCTTTTTCTCACAACTCACTTCAAATCCTTCGGCAAACGCCTGGCTCCAAAACCCTCTACACTCTGCCTTTCCATTTCCATCTCTGGAATTCAAAAAAGCATCGCGTCTCATCTGGCTTACTGAAATAACCTCCCGCCTGACGACCTTCTTCCATCTTGCTCCCGATGGTTTCTTCTCCACCCCAAAACGACTCTCCTGAGTCTAGGTCTCCACAGAGAGATCTTTTTAAATGTTAATAAGATCATGTCTCTGTCTTTATTGAAACCTTCTGGAGGCTTTTGAGCACACTTAGGAAAAACCCACACTCGCTGACACCTGCGTTCCCCACTAACCCTCATCACCTGCACTCTGCCCCTTATGCAGTAAGTTCTCCCGCTCTGGGACCTTTGCCCCAGTTCTCCCCCATACCTGGAAAGGCCTTTCCTCAATCTTCACACAACACGTCCCTTCTCATCATTCAGGGTCATTTCAACATCATTTCCTCAGACTTTCCAATCTAGCCATCCTGTCACTTGCTATCACATTATTCTACTTGAATATTTTAATCTTCTGCATAACATTACCATCAGCCGATATTTTTCTTCCACATTGATCACCTTGTGTTTGTCTTCCCCTACCAGGTGATTCAACTTTACTAACTTGGTGCCTGACTTGGAATAAGTATTTGGCAAATTAATTCATTAATCTCTTAAGACCAAGAGCAAAGTGAAACGGCTATGTGCTTAACTAATCCTTATGACTCGCCCCTTGGAAAATATACTAGTGTTCGTGCCCACTTAAAGAAGAGGGGGAGGGTGCTGGAATCTGGGTCCTGCAAATCTAGGCCCTAACCCTATTCCCTCTTCCCTGTAGAGGGAATATAAGGGTTCTGCCAACACTGAGGCAAGTTTAAACACTCATATTCCCTGTGGAGCACCCACTGATACATGATCCAGTCACCTCAAGTTTGACTTGTAAGGACCCAAAGTGATTTCAGGTGACAGTGGAAGCACAGATTGATGGAGGATCCCTGCTCAGAGGCAGACAGGTCAGATCCACTGACCAAATGATACAGAGAGACTGCTTAGGGTAAACAGGGACCTGTATCCAGCTGAGGCCATAGGAAGGCTGATGGTCTCTCTGTTCGGGTCTTAAGAAAAGCCATTAGGCCTTCCAAGCCCCTTCCGGATTTCCTTATAATGACTTGGAATACCCCACAGCTGTTTTTTTGCAAGGAAGAAAAAAACAGGAAACCAATGCTCCACAATTTCACACTGAGACTTGAAGGTAACCTGAAAGTTTCATCAAAATTGCATTTCATCCTTGGTAAACCTCAAGCAAACAGAATACTAAAAATACCACCTGTTTTCTCTTCCTCTCCCCAAGGTACCATTATGATAACTAGACACAGGATGGAAAACGGACTTACCAGCTTCGATGCATTCTGGCTTCAAGCAGTACTCCTGTTTAGCTTGGAGACTTAAGAAACCTTGACTCACTGAAAAAACAGACCAAAATAAAGAAATGACTGGCATGTAGCAGACCACCGTCAGATAACCCACAGTCAGGCACATAGGCTAGACATGTGGTATCAGTTCATCCTTCTCAGCATTGACACGGAGTTCAAAAACCCAGCTGGCTCAGTATCACCCAACCAGACTCTGGTCACAAGCTAAGTAACCTTGGTGAGACTCACTGCTCTGAAATTGGGTTCTCTAGAATATGAGTGGATACAATCAGACCAGTGCTTCTCAGAGTGGGGTGCCCAGGCCTCGGGAGCAGCATCCCCTGGCAGCTCTTTAGAAAGATAAATTACTGAGGGGTGCCTGGGTGGCTCAGTCATTAAGCGTCTGCCTTCGGCTCGGGTCATGATCCCGGGGTCCTGGGATCGAGCCCCGCATCGGACTCCTTGCTCAGCAGGGAGCCTGCTTCTCCCTCTCCCACTCCCCCTGCTTGTGTTCCCTCTTTCGCTGTCTCTCTCTCTGTCAAATAAATGGATAAAATCTTAAAAGAAAAAAAAAGAAAGATAAATTACTGAGCCCTACCGCTGACCTGAATCAGAAAGTCTGGGCGGGGGGCGCCTGGGTGGCTCCGTTGGTTGAGCGTCTGCCTTCGGCTCAGGTCATGATCTCGGGGTCCTGGGATCGAGCCCCACATCAGGCTCCCTGCTCGGGGGGAGGCCTGCTTCTTCCTCTCCCTCTGCCCTTCCCCTGCTCATGCTCTCTCACTCTGACTTGCTCTCTCTCAAATAAATAAAATCTTTGAGAAAAAAAAAAAGAAAGTCTGGCCGGGGGGCGGGCAGCCATCTGCATTTTTGCAAGCCCTCCAGGTGATTCTGATGCACACGGGGTTTGAGAGCCACGGGGCTAGATGATCTCTAAAGTCTCTTCCATCTCCAATTATCTATGATTGAAGTCTCATAATTTCACTCTTTCTGTTTACAACTATGTTCCTGTTTTAGAGATGGGGATAAAATGAAACTTACAACTAACTATGTCATTTGGAGTAAATCCAGACTGGAAGGAGAAAAAGAGCATGTGTGGCATTTAAAGTTCTGAATCTTATCTAGACCGTCCGTAGATGGGGGGGGGGGGTTTACACAGTCATCTAGCAAGAGAGTCATGATACACCCTGTACCCCACACACCCTCCTCCCACCAAGCTCAGCCTAGCTACCAGACAGATGTGGCTTGTGGACCAAGCTTCCAACTACTTCCACCAGAACAAAACAAAACAAAAACCCTGCAAGATGGAATTAGCTTTTCACCAAGGGCTTAATTTTCCCCATCTGTCTGGCAATATTATCTAAATAGATTTCTGCAGAAGTACAGAAGGGTGCCCTCTTTGTAAACTCCGGGCAGCACCTGGGCATTAGCAGATGTGAGTTTAGATTTCAAAAATATTTTTGGTAGCCAAGGAAGTTAACAGAAATTCATTATTGCTGTACTCTGTGAGCAGAAATCAGGAATCATTTGGAGATGTGGCCGTGGGGAGATGGATGGTGGGGGGTGAGGGGGAGCCAAGGCCTTTTGTGGCATCCTCAGCTGAGAAGCAGGGTAAGAAAGCACGGCGGTACCTATATTTCCGCTAGAGATGGAAGACCTGTATATCTCTTGCCAGTATTGCAATTTGTATTTTTTATTAACCCACATTCTAAGAGGAGCCTGCTTTTTCTTTGTTCCTTTCTTTGCTGCCATCCTCCAAACAGCCTTTTTACTTGTGTTACATTACAGATATAAGAAAATTGCCAATGGCACACCTCAGGTCTGTTTTTAAGAAAAGTATCTTAGGGGTGCCTGGGTTTCTCAGTCGGTTGGGTGTCCGACTCTTGATTTTGGCTCGGGTTGTGATCTTGGGGTCATGGGATCAAGCCCTGCATCAGGCTCCACGCTCAGTGGGGAGTCTGCTTCTCTATCTCCCTCCCACCCCCCACTGCCGCTTGCTCTCTCTCTCTCTCTAAAGTGAATAAATAAATCTTTATTTTAAGATTTTATTTATTTATTTGAGAGGCAGAGAGAGCGAGAGAGTGGCAGAGAGGAAGAGGGAGAAGCAGACTCCCCACTGAGCAGGGAGCCCGATGCGGGGCTCCATCCCAGGACCCTGGGATCATGACCTGAGCCGAAGGCAGTCACTTAACCGACTGAGCCACCCAGGCACCCCTGAATAAAAAAATCTTTTAAAAAAGGAAAAAAAGAAAAAGAAAAACCTTAGCATAAAGGTGTTTTGATTTCTTTAAAGAGCAAAGAAAAGTTAGATAAAAATATAAACGTGCAGCGTAAACATTAGTACTGAATATTTCATTATGCCTGTGTGATGGAACCATGGGGGACATATTCCCTTCAGTCTACCTCTGTGTTTACCAAATGTTCTTTAATGAACCTGTATTATTTTTTATAATGGAAAAATAAACTTTATTATAAGTAACACTGTTATGATTCTGGACAGTACCATCTTGATACTAGCCTTATTTTTTTAAAAAGCTAATGAAATGGTTAGTTTAAGGAGTTATTGCTTTCATGGAAAAGAATTCTTGACCCAGCCCTCTAAGGAAGCAGAACTAGATATCTTTATCTGAATGAGTAAAAAGGAGGTTTAAATTAAATTGGGATGCAGACAGACCTAACCCCTTGAGGAAGAGCATTATATCCATGGGGGGTGGGGTTAAGATCCTGCAAATAAAGAAGAATCAACAGGCCCAAATAATGTGAAGGTGTGGGTGAATGAAATTGGGACAACAAGGGGAATATTTTTTATATAAAAATGGAAAATGTTACTTTTTACTGGTTAGGTGCTTTAAAAAAACTTAAGGAGCAGTTTGGTTTCTCATTTTAGATTTTTCTTTTTTTTTTCTAAAGAATTTATTTATTTATTTGACAGAGAGAGATAGCGAGAGCAGGAACACAAGCAGGGGGAGTGGCAGAGGGAGAAGCAGGCTCCCCGCGGAGCAGGGAGCCTGATGCAGGGCTCCATCCCAGGACCCTGGGATCATAACCTGAGCCGAAGGCAGACGCTTAACGACTGAGCCACCCAGGCGCCCCATTTTAGATTTTTCTATAACCAGTAGAAATGCCCTCAGAATGCAGTAGAGTCATCCGCAGATGGACAGCGTGAGAATGACCATAAAGTAGGGGTCAGCAAACTATGACCCATGGGCCAAGTCCAGTCTTCTGCCCGTTTCTGTACGGCCCGTGAGCTAAAAATGATTTTTACATTTTTAAATGGTTGGAAAAAAACCACAAGAAGAATCATGTTTCATAAAAATGATCTGAAATTCAAATTTCAGTATTCAGAAATCAAATCGTATCAAAAGACAGTCATGCCTATTTGTGTACAGAGCTGCCATCTTGCAGCAGCAGAGAGTGGATGGCCCAGAAAGCTGAAAATATTTACAATCTTGTCCTTTACAGAAAAAGTTTGCCAACTATGACATTTGAGAAATAGACTGTGGCGAGGAAGAATGGGGGGAAGGAGGAAGAGAGGAAAGGACACTTTAAAATAAACTACTTATAGGCATATGGTTATACCTGTCATCTAAAATTCTGGTTTTCTAGCTTCTCTGAGACCACCCCAAGGCCGGTGGCAGTCACTCTTACCTTAGGAGAACTAAGGTTTGGGAAAGAGATTAGCCCAGAGCCGGAAATACAAAGAGGTAAGGAGGGATGCTAGAAATTGCAGGCATGTGCCTAAATTTGGACAGACAGGAAAATATCAACCAGGAAGCGCCTTGACCAGAAGAGGACTTAACCAGAACATTGTCACAAAGAGCATTGCCTTGCAGGTCCCTGGAGATTTTCAGACAAGGACTTCACTAAGTGCACGGTGAAGGTGGGTGGCAGAACCTGGGGGACAAGGCAGTGAAGAAGGGTCAGGGGGAAGGAAGTCTGAAATGGTGCAGAGATGTTGGACAAAAACCTACTAAAGAATGTGCATTTATCTGAAAGCAAATATCCCCGATTATATACACCCACGTGGACGCTGTCAGCTAGAGCAAGGCTTCTCAGACTTTAATTTGCAAATGAATCAGCTGGGGATCTTATGGAAAGGCAGATTCTGAATCAGTAGTTCTGAGTTCAGAAGCTCAGGCTCCAGAGTGGTGCGCACGCTGCCAGTCTGCCGAGCACAGCGGCTAGTGGAGGTGTAGAGAGGCCACACTTTTGTTCTCTAACATCATTAGAGCTCCTCTTAGAAATCTGCAGTAAGAGCCAGGTAATTGGGCACACTGCAAATTATTTTTGTCTGCTTTAGGCGGCCCTCCTTACCATAGCATTGCCCAGCTTCAAGAATTTTACCGTGCTCTAAAAACTTTAGAGCTGATTCCAGAGAATCATCTCCTCTCGAGGAACAAAGATTTGCTGCCATTGAGAATATTCCAACTAGGGGCGCCTGCGTGGCTCAGTCGGTTAAGCGTCTGCCTCCGGCTCAGGTCATGATCCCAGGGTCCTGGGATCGAGCCTCCTATCGGGCTCCCTGCTCGGCGGAGAGTCTGCCTCTCCCTCTTCCCCTGCTTGTGCTCTCTCTGTCTCTGTCCCTCTCTCAAATGAACGAATAAAATCTTAAAAAAAAAAAAAAGAGAGAGAGAGAATATTCCAACCAATATGTAACAGCCTCAGAATATAGTCGTTCTTAAACGGTGGAATTTCAAATGCTTCGAGCAGCAGTAACATCATTAAAAAGAGTGCATATTTTCACATAAACAATCATCATTTGGATTTTGAAGTTTGGGAGTGTTCACAACACACAAATAGTCTAACTTTGTACTCACTTCCCACAGAGTATGTAGTTCCCATATGGGCAAGCCATATCATTTTTCTCTCCGTTGAATTTCAGGATGGGACACATGTCTAAACCCCGAGTGCCGAGGAATCTCAGGAAAGTTTTTGAGCACCACAAATTCAGCTGCAGCAGTAGGAGGTTTAGCTGCAGCAGAAAGCAATAAACCTATCTAATTTCCTAAATCTACAGTCACAGAGAACATGGAAAGATGGTTTGCTGGTTTTAGCAGGATTTTCAACCACACAACCCTAACTCTTTTAAAGTCGAATCACTGGTTTTCCCTTGCCAAAATAAACATGGCCTCCTGCAACCTGTGCGAGCCAAAGAAGGTTTCCAGGCTTGCTGCATTTCAGACTGCACCTCAAATCTCCTAAGGATAGGGGCTTGTTCCGGGCGCCTGGGTGGCTCAGTTGGTTAAGCGACTGCCTTCGGCTCAGGTCATGATCCTGGAGTCCCGGGATCGAGTCCCGCATCGGGCTCCCTGCTCGGCAGGGAGTCTGCTTCTCCCTCTGACCCTCCCCACTCTCATGGTCTATCTCATTCTCTCTCTCAAATAAATAAATAAAAAATCTTTAAAAAAAAAAAAAAAGGATAGGGGCTTGTTCCTATATAGCTTTCAAGCTAATGAAATAGTATGGGCTGTATGAGGAAAATACAAAGGGTAATAATCAAGGGTCCAAAATGCCTGCAATTTTAGAACATCCATCTCCCCTTTCCAAGATATCTCATTCCTATTCATAGGAATATGCTTTTCATCATATATACTCTCTGGGTACATCATTCTCACCAAGAGTCATTAAAATAATTTAATCACAATACCTTTCAAATGTTGGAAAGAAAACCTGTTTTCCTTCATATTAATTTTTAAATCTAGAAAGGCAGAGTTAAAATTTCATCCCACCAAGAGTCACTGGATTAGAAAGGCATTGAGGAATATCATTAAGGTGCCTGTTTAAAGACTGCTTTGTATTTTTTTAAGTTAAATTTCATGATTCATTCAGGCAAACATTAGCAAAACTCAAATGGAAAAAAAACTCTAGTGTGGTTTTAATCACAATGTAAAGTCTTTCCTCACAAAATAAATGAAAGTATCTATGAATTCATAAACCCTCATTTTGCTAAATGTAAGATACAATGCATAAAAAAATTTTTGCCCAGTGCAACCGAATCCTCCAGCTGCTGGAAGCTACTTTATGCCCACTTGGCAGTCTGGACTATACATTTGGTGCTTGCCTGTATTTATTTATTCAGCTTCCTAAAGAAAAGGCTTCTTTCCCTTTTGCATATTTAATAGAAGCTAAGGATACACCACCTACTCACACATGCAAACAGCCCTCCACCTGCATCCTGACAAGGTTTGCCAGAAGAAAGCTCAAGGAAACTTAACTGCACTCGCCCTGTTCCCTGGCCTCCAGCACCCCACTTACCTAGAAAGAGGATCATGCCCAGCACCAGGGTGCTACCAATGAACACAGCCAGGGCGATTCGAGTGCCTCTACTGGCCGTCTTTCCAGTCTCCATGCTGCTCCCCATTTCTGCCTCCATCAGGAAGGACGTAGAGGCCACGCGAAGAGAAGGTCACTTTTTGTGGTTTGGTGGCTGGTCTCAAGAGTCTGTTAGGCGTTGACATCCAAGGTTCTCTTGCTCTTCCACTAATAGCCTAAAAAATCCTGTCAGGAAATCTTCCCTCACTACCCTTTCTCAAATATTTCTTCACAAATGAAATAAAAGAAACCCAAAATATTGGTTGCCTTGGCTTTCCCCCTGACCAGACAAAACAAACAGTGGTTGCTTTATCTTGGTGCTCTCCCCCCGCCCCCCAGCAAAGTCCCTCTCAACCGATGATTTGGCAGGCTTTTCTCTCAGGCGTTCTGAGTGTACATGTTTTACTATGTGACTGAACAGATGTTTTAGCTATTTAAATGTATAGTCACTTTGGGAGGAAAAAACAATTGTCTTTATCAAAACTGGATTCTCATCAAACTCCCCCAAACTGTGATAAGTTAGGTGGCAGGGATTCTCCAGACCCGCTTTAAGGTCTCAATGAATCACGTAATTCTTTTGCACTAATCATTCTGCTCGCCTGAACTGTCTCCATCAAAGCTATTGTTTCTGTGTGCAAGTCCCTTTTTAAAGCCCTCTAAGAGTTCCTGGGATGTCCTGGAGCATTTTATTTTAGGAACTTTGTGTATGACGGCATGTGCCAAAAATCAGAGTCATAGTCCAGTGCAGTGCAAAGTAGCAATTAAGACAACCTACAGAGGCTGATGGTTTGGACTGGAACGTTTTTTAAGGAGAAAGAAAAAAGCATTTCCTCTCTGTGGTGCTAAGAACTGGATAAAAGATGGGTAAGCATTCAAATTAAGCTTATTAGCAACCACAGAAGAAACGGTACAAGTTTTTTCCCTGCATCTTTTGATGGAAAGTGCCCCCCGTGTATTTGGCCCTCCAGGCCCACCAAGGCAGCCTTTGCTTAGTACAGTTTTGTGTTTACATAAAACGCCCATTTCAGCGGATTCTCCAGGATAAAATCAAAGGCAATTGGTTTCCCTGGAAAGACTGAGTTAATGACTGGGTCTTTGATTTGTTTAATTATGCTAACAATTTAAATTATGAAAATCTGCTTTCCTCATGGGGAAAGGCAACTGAGAGTCCAATGCTATGGGTTTTATTAGCCAATGATACAAATGTCATTGATTCACAACACAGTTACTCCTTACCTGTTTTTGTTTTGCTGAAGCTCATAGGACAGTGGGAATGGGGGTGGAGAATTCATCTGAAAACCAGTAGAGCACAGTTCTCATGCAAAACTTGTGCCCGTGGCCTTGTGGGTCACACCAGAGCTCAGCAGACGCTGTTGAGCCCAGCATAACACGGCCACGTGTTCATGGTCCTGTCTGGCTGGTCTGGGTCAGGTCTTAATATACTTAGCGTGGGATTCTTCCAAGGTTTACACTTATTCCAAAACACATCCTACATCACTTTCTGCTCATTTCATGTTGCCCCAAAGGCAGCAGAGCATAAGCCTTTGTCCAAATTATGACATCATAGTATGCTGTAGATATTATGTGCTCATTACCTCTTGATGTCATTTTGTTGTTATTCCATAACACATCTTAGCAGGCCTTTGGCTCCTAGGAAGAGATTCTCCCAAGAGTTTTTAGACTTGAATCCACAGTACTTCTTAGACTGTGAGCTCTATGAAGTCAGGAATCACGTCCATCAAGTTCAATGCTATAGCCCCAGCATCTACAGTTCATGGCCCATAACAGTGAAGGGAGAAATAAGAGCAATGAAAATCAGGCAAGTCAGCTCCAGGTACTCACTCTTAAAAAGCAGCTTCAGGGGTGGCTCAGTCGTTAAGCGTCTGCCTTCGGCTCAGGTCATGGTCCCAGGGTCCTGGAATCAAGCCCCGCATCGGGCTCCCTGCTCCACGGGAAGCCTGCTTCTCCCTCTCCCGCTCCCCCTGCTTGTGTTCCCTCTCTCGCTGTGTCTCTCTCTGTCAAATAAATAAATAAAATCTTAAGAAAAAAGGCAGCTTCAGGACACTCAGATGCTAGTATCTGGGGGTCTTTCAGCCTCCTAATTCCTTCACTAAATGCTCAAACAATAATAATATATCACAGAAGGATAGCACGTTCATTTCCCATTTTAACCTCATGGTAAATGTACGTGCTTGATAGCAAAGGCCTTTTTATCTCTGGTTTGCACATGAGAACACTGAGGCCCAAGGCCCAGCCTCAAGCAGCACAGCAAACTCAGGAAAGGGAAAGTCGGTGCGGGGATCGCTGCCGTGCACTGCGCGTCTGCAGCTTGTCCGAGCTCCCCGGGCACAAGGGAGAGGACACCCACACAAGCGTGACGCCACTTCTTCCCGCTTTCCTTTTTCCTCCGCATCTCCCCACACCTTCCGGAGCCAAACTGACAGGCAATGGTGATCTTTCCGGAACACTCAACTGCGAAGTGAAAAGCCAGTAAACCAAAAAAGACTTCCATTAGTCTTAATAGGAAAACTCCAATGCATTCCAACCCAAACGAAGATATGCAAATGCGGAGGGAACAATGTATTAATTGAACAATGAAAACAAGTCTATAGGGCGCCTGGGTGGCTCAGTTGGTTGAGCGACTGCCTTCGGCTCAGGTCATGATCCTGGAGTCCCAGGATCGAGTCCCGCATCGGGCTCCCTGCTCAGCGAGGAGCCTGCTTCTCCCTCTAACCCTCCCCCATCTCATGTACTCTTTCTCTCTCTCATTCTCGCTCTCTCAAATAAATAAATAAAATCTTTAAAAAAAAAAAGGTCTATAAAAGTAACAACTTTCTAGGTATTGAAAATAAATACAGTTTGTTCATGTAATGCAAGTAATGAAGTTTTATTTTACTCACCAAAGGAGTAAAGAAGACTTGAGAGCAGGTGGGGATTGGGAGGAGAAAGGGTGCCGGTGAATCATTCATTAGAAGGTTCATTCTTCATTCTGTGCCATTTTCTGCATTAAGTTTTCAACCTTTGGGGAGATGTTGATTATCTTGCACTCAAACTGCATTTAAAAATAAATTTGTAGCACAGAAGGGTCGCCTGGCTGACTCGGTCGGTGAAGCGTATGATTCTTGATCTCGGGGTTGTGGGTTCAAGCCCCACAATGGGTGCAGAGATTACTTAAAAATAAAATCTTAAAAAAAGAGAGAAGAAAAAAAAAAGGTTGTAGCACAGAAAAAAAAAATTAGAGCAAAATAAAGAAGTTCCAAGTATAGAAAAATAATGAGTGCTTACAAGAGACAAAAGCAAGGGTCTGTAAACTCGGGCACATGGGCCAAATCTGGGCCACCACCTATTTTTGTAAATAAATGTTATTGGAAGAAAGTCACCCCCATTCGTTTACATATTGTCTATGATTGCTTTCACGCTACAAGGTCAGAGCTGAGTAGGCCCACGACGCAGATATGGCCCCTGGAGCTTATTTACTCTCTGGCCCTTCACAGAAACCGTGGACTGAAGGGTAGTAGAAGCAGCTGCCTCTCATCCTCACCTACACGGCACGCTAACACAAAGCAGAATGTTCACCTGAACTTGACCGGCTTCTCAAAATCATTCTATTGGATGTTCTCTGAATGTCTGCTGTTGTGTCAATGTGTCTTCGTTTGAAACTGTAATATTAAAACTATGGTATATTATTTAGTGTGTTTTGGGGTGAGGTGTCATTCTGGGATAAAAAAAGGGGGATGTCAAAAATGTTACAATTTCTCAAGAGCCATGAAAATTAGTTGACTGCAAAGTCACTACACAGGTAAGTCCGCTTAATCATCTGATCGCCGGCCCCCCCCCCCCCGGATTGTTTCCATTCAGAACCTCCAGGACTGTCTTGAGCTTTAACTGGAATCGGTCAATGGAATCCACAGAAATTTCCTGAGCATTTCTCAGGTGTCTGGTCCCGTGCAAGGCCCTGTGAGGGCAGATGAAGAAGCCATGCCTGGGGTTCCAGACCAGTAAACCGGGCCAGTCATCAAAATAGGCAAAGCTCTTGGCAACTTAGTTACAGAGCACTGAAGGCCAACAAGTGTCCAGAGAAATAGAAATCCCTGAATGACAGATCTGCTGGGAAAACTTCCAGGGGGACCTGCTAGAACAGACAGCTTGAGGGGAAAAAAAGGAAGGCTTCCAGATAGGCCAAACCCCAGCAGACCTGGGACTCAAGCCTGGGCACTGACATCTCTCCCTGTAGGACTCCCAGGTAAGATTATTTATCCAGAGATAATGGAATCCTGTGACCTTGGCCCAACCTCAGTGGCCGGGATGACAGGCGAAACGGAGTCTTTGTGCTGCATGAGTGCATCTGGTCATTGCTCGGAGGTGCGGGACCTTCGGTTTCAGGCAGTAAAATCCCACGTGAGCTACAATTTCAGTGAGAAAGAAGGAAATGATTCAAAACCTGAAAAATGTATTCATCCTTTGAAAGGAGGAGGGAGGGAGGGAGGGAGGGAGGGAAGGAGGTGGGGAGGGAGGAAAGGGAAAGAAGAGCTAAATGGCGGGCTGCTGCCGGGCTCTGTTAAGTTGTTGGCAGGCCTTTCAGACTAGGGAGGGTTCAAGTCCCAGGCCTCCCACTAATGAGACTCATTACTTACATTTTATCTGATCTTTTTCAACATCTTTCTTAGCTGGGTGTTCTGTCTCCTTTTACAGATGAGGAAACTGAAGTTTGGAGCTATTAAGTGATTTGCCCAAGGTCACGCAGCAGGTCTTAAGGCCTGAGAGGTTTCAGATTCCAACCTCTTTTCTCTCTGCCCTTACTTGATAAATTTGCTTATCTACCTCAGGTAATTAGTGAAGGTAGGTAGGCGTGTCAAAATGACACTTGAGACCCAGAGAAAGCGATAAACTATGCCTCCTCTAATTCTCTTGTTGACAAGACTAATTATCAGGTTTCATTTTCTTCACAGGAATAGCCACCATCATTAAATATGGGGAAAAACTTTTTTGGGTTGGGCAACAAGAATGCCTCCTGATTTACTGCTGCTCGTAATTGAACGTGAGGAAAGATACCTACGTTTCAAAGGCCTTCCAGGGGCGCCTGGGTGGCTCAGTCGGTTGAGCGACTGCCTTCGGCTCAGGTCATGATCCTGGAGTCCCGGGATCGAGTCCCGCATCGGGCTCCCTGCTCGGCGGGGAGTCTGCTTCTCACTCTGACCCTCCCCCCCCCATGTGCTCTCTCTCATTCTCTCTCTCTCAAATAAATAAATAAAATCTTAAAAAAAAAAAAAAAAGGCCTTCCAACCATGTACTGTGCTGTTCACTTCTGAGCCTAAAGGGGGTTTTTATTTCTTGACTTTCTCACATCCTTGGCCATATAGCTACTGTTTCTTCAGTGTGCACTCACTTTGTGTGTATTATCATCAGTCCTGTGGTGGAGGAATCTTCTGTTTTACAGATGGAACTCAAATCTGTCGAGGTCTTGTTTTGAAATGTACCCCAGATTTATTTTAAACAGGGAGAGGAGGATGACAGACACAGAGAAGGGCTTTGAAAGAAGAGTTTATTACTCACAGTTTTCAAGAGGAAGGGGCATGCCATGTCACACAGGGCCACATGGGGAGGCACTGGGGTTGGTCAGGCAGCAAAACGAGCAAGGGGGACAAAAAAGGAGAGCAAGGGGAAAATACACACAAAAGCCTTTTATTACGGTTTTCAAGAAATGGGCAGGCAGGCTAAGCAGCGGAGACAGGCTTAGGAAGGGAGAGTTTGAATAATTTCAGCAGGTGCTGGTCTTTAGGAGTGGTCTTTAGTTGTCCAGCACCTGGTCCTGGGGGGATGTGGGTTCTGGGTAGATAGCATCCTGGACTGCAAGGAGCCTAAGAAAAGGAGGCTGGTGAGGGTATGGACTCAGGATGGGTTGGGTTGCATTTCAAAGGCATGCTACAAGGCAAGTCATTTACCATCTCTAGGAATTAGCTAAACCTGGGAGGGGCAGGCCCTCCCTGGGTCCACAAGGCCCAAAGATATCAAAGAGTCATAAGACATAGAAAATTAAAGGGGCGCCTGGGTGGCTCAGTCGTTAGGCGTCTGCCTTCAGCTCAGGTCATGATCCCAGGGTCCTGGGATCGAGCCCGGCATCGGGCTCCCTGCTCGGAGGGAAGCCTGCTTCTCCCTCTCCCACTCCCCCTGCTTGTGTTCTCTCTCTTGCTGTCTGTCTCTGTCAAATAAATAAATAAAATCTTAAAAAAAAAAAAAAAAAGAAAATTAAAAACATGAGTAACACAGCTCCAAAACTCTTCAAAACTTTTCCAAAGCATTCTACTGCATAGCATTCTGTTAAAATGTAATGACTATTCATCCAACTAGTGCTTATGTGCTACAGCCTCAAACGGATCAAATCCACGCTGACCGCTTGGTTAGACAACTAACATACAGAAGTTTGTATGCCTGTGATTATTATAGCCAACTGTTCAAGGATGGCTTACTCAGATGTTTAATGAAGGCAAGAGGCTTAGAGAAGTGCTTTTCAAGTTGGTGCGGTCAGGCACCGGAATCTCCCGGAAGCCTCGTTTAAACACAGATTACTGGGCGCTATTCTTGGAGTGTGTGACTCAGTGCTCTTGGATGGTCTGAAATGTGTATTTCTCACACGCTCCCAGGTGATGCTAATGCCGCTGGCCTGAGGATCACATCTGGAGGACCGCTGGCTTAGAGAGAGCATCAAATCTTTTTTAGTAAGGCAAACCGAAGAACTAACAAACCTAAACGTTAAACTTATACAGAGAACCCAGGGATGACATTCAAAATATTGAACAATATTTAAATAATTAAAGCTCCAGGCTGCTATGACTTGGCTAAAATAACATTTGTGAAGTGGTTCCTACTTCCAGGTCCTGGAGGATGTGCACAGCGTGCCTCAATGGACGACATGGGGAGGTCAAGGCCGAGTTCACAGAGCAAGAGGCAGGACCTAGGCATGTGCCTTCGTTATGTCCCAGGGGTAGAGTGCTTTGGGGTTCCCAGGCCAAGTTGGTCACTTCAAACCCAAAACAGCAGAGTTGTGGTAAGCTCCATGGAGCTCTTATCTGAGGGGCAGCCTGGGAGGTGAGGGAGAGCGTTCCTTGCTCGTAAGGGCTGCTGGGGAAATCCTAGGAGGGACTTACACTTGCTTGTGACTCTGCACACTGTCACCCAGGGCATGCACTTGCATGAGGGCCGAGGGTCCGTTTCAGGTCTCCTCAGGTGGCCTGGCCAAACAATACAGACATCGAGGCTGCAGCACCATGGAGTGCTTGGCTAGATGCTCCCCACAGGCGCTACTTGTTAGCTGCTGGATCTGGAGGGTCCCAGGTGAGGGGCCGGGTTGGTGAGGCCACGAGGAGGGCTGGGGCAGTAGTCAGCCCCTGGAAGGAAGCAGGTATTTCAGTAGTTAACAACAGCTCCGGCCACACCGCCATGCGCCCACGGAATTGCCATCCTGAGTCAAATTTCAAATGGACTTACGGTGGTGCTGAAAATCCTTCAAGAGTTGCTTCAGCTTTGGGGGAAATGTCAAAATGCATCCCAAGGACGTCCTATGTGACTGAACCCCTGCAATCCTCCGGGCTCACTTTGGTTGGCCCTTCAATTTACACGCTACACACCAGTCATTCTGAACCCTCTTCAAGTTCCCAGACACACGGAACTTCACCCAGGCTTTTTGCCCTCAGAAGAAAACATTCTTTTGCCCGGAAAACCATTTCCTTGGAAATTCAGATTCATCTTTTGAGAGTCAGTTCAGACTCCTTTAGAAAGCATCCTAAAGCCCTCTTCTTATCAAGGTCATGGGGTGACCTGTCTTATCACTTAGATTTTGTCACAATGATCTGTATAAGAATCCAGCCCGTTAGACTACAGGCAAGTTGAGGGCAGGCATTTACCATATTGCATCAGTTTTAAGAGGGACTTTTTTTCAAGGTTTAACATCTCTAGAAGTAGGGGGTATCTCTTAATTTGATAGCATGTCTTTCTTAATGGTACATAGTATTGTGGTACATCTTACCATCAACTGTATCTTAGAGTCAACAAAACAAGCTTTTTTCTTCCCTGTACCCACATCTCCTTGCGCAATACTGAGCACGGAGGATATGCTTTTTGAGTCTCAGCCTCACTCTGACCTTCTAGCATGTTCAGTGTCAAGCCCACAAACTACGTTTTCCAGGCTCCCTTGCCAGCCGAGTTCTGGATTCTGTCAGTGGGAGGCATGCATGGGCAGAAGGCACGTACAAGTCTGCTTTGGTTTTCTGTTTGCTGCTCCTGGTTCTACCCGTGGCTCCAGCAGGCGACGGTGGGCTCCTACAAGAGTGGGGGTGGAGGTGACAGCAGCAGACGCATACGGCTGCTGGTGCTCACAGACTCCAGAAGCTTCTGCGGGACCGTGGCTCCTGGAGTCCCAGTCAGCAGCAGCTGCAGGGGGGCAGTGTTTGGGCGGACTCAGGGTCAATACCTTTCATCCTTTGGTAGCAGTAGCAGCTTCCGGAAGTTACGGAACTCTGAGCACCATCGTCCCCCCTTTACTCCTTCTGCCGATTGGTTCCAGTACCTTTAGAACCAATTCTCCGCATTAAATACACTGTCTTTAGGATAGGTAGAGCGGTTTCTGCTTTCCCAGCTGAACACTGACAGCGACAGGCCCCTTCCCTGTCCTTCTGTAGCTGGAAGTGGCCATTCAGGTTGATGCACGGTCCACACTGCTGGCCGGCACAGCGCTTAAGGGCATGGTGCCCGTGACTGAACTTCCTGGGCTGGCTTCCTAGCAGTCACTGCCACTTACTTACTAAGTGACCAGGAGAAAACTGCCTCATCTCTCAGGGTCTCGGTTTTGTCATCCGACAAATGGGGATAACAATAATCTTCATCTTACGGAGTTATTATAAGACGAAGTGCTTAAAATGGTGTCTGAAGAAATGCTAGGCATCATTATTATTGTGCTTCTTAAGATTTCATGTTTTGTCATGCATAGATATACCTGTAGATGGCTCTTAGTGTTTGCTTATTATTATTTTTTTAATTCTTATTCAGAGCTGTGTCTATGCCTATGGGAAGTATTCAATGAAGATCTACCGGAGGAGGGAGGAAAGAGGGAGAAAGAATGGAACGGAAAAGAAAGGAACAGGAAGGGGAGCACAGGAGAGGATAGAGGAGAGGAAGGGAAGAAAGGGAAGGCAATGCGGGCTCAGGGCAGCACCTACTTTCCCAGAGGCAGAGAATTATTTCAGTATTTTAAGAATCAGCTTAGCCATATGGTTGCTTACCAGCCGAACATCAGCCTGGCTCCCTTCCTCATCCATGATCTTAAAGTCACACCAACTCCTACTCTTCCCCAACACAAGACACACAGATGAACTCTGCCAAAGGCATTGCGATGGTTTTCTCTTTGCCTCTAAGGTAGGTCGAAGGGGTGCCTGTCCTTCTTATCTGGAATATATACAGAATGTGTACAAAGCAATGAGAAAAGACAGATCGCCCGATAGAAAAAGTGGACCAATGATTTGAAGAGACACTTCAAAAAGAGGTTATCCGAGTGACCAATAAACATTGGAAAAGCAGCTCAACTTCATTAGTCACGAAGGAAATGCAACTTAAAACCACAGTGTGGGGCGCCTGGGTGGCTCAGTCGGTTAAGCAACTGCCTTCGGCTCAGGTCATGATCCCGGAGTGCTGGGATCGAGTCCCACATCGGGCTCCCTGCTCAGCGGGGAGCCTGCTTCTCCTTCTGACCCTCTCACCTCTCATGCTGTTTCTCTCTCGCTCGCTCTCTAATAAATAAATAAATAAATAAATAAATAAATAAATAATCTTTAAAAAAAATAAAACCACAATGTGCCCTCTTCTCTGGTCCTTTCTCTTGCTCTTCACCACAGACCCTGGTCATCCTCCAATCCTAGCTGGTTGTATTCCTATTGGCAGTAAGAATAGCCAAGTATCAACATACTCCTGTCTTTGAGCCACTTGAGGGCTTCCTCATGATCTCGACATCTTTACAACCCTGGGACCTTACCGAGAAGGCACTTAACGTTGCAGGATGGTGCTCGCTTCGGCAGCATATATACATTGCAGGATGAATGCACCTGGAATCTCAAAGAGATGACAGAAGGCAGCCTGCAAAGGCTAGGTTCGGAATGTGATTTTGCAGTTGGGATGAAAAGAAAGAAATAGAGTGGCAGTAATGGACCTCTTCTCTGAAGTTACTAGACATCAAGGACAAGAGGGAAATCATTTCTTGTTCATGTCTCCTCCGCCATAACAACTCACCATTGGATTCTTTAATGTCAAGTGTTCTCTGGGTGCACTGAACCTGGTTTTTATCAAATGAACACCTGTTCTATTCTTGTTCCGTAGAACTTTCTGCCAATAGAATACTCGGTGGAAAAGAAAAAGAAAGGATGGATGCCCATTACCTACGGCATCTCCTACAAATGGGGAAAGGGAACGAAGATAAGATTTTCAAATTTCAACTGGTTATTTTCAGTTTCATAAAGTTTTGAAAGTTTTTGATTCCAAAGAGAGCTTGTTCGGGGCACCTGGGTAATTCAGTCGGTTAAGTGTCCGACTCTTGATTTTGGTTCAGGTCGTGATCTCAGGGTCGTGAGATCGAGCCTCACGTTGGGCTCCACACTCAATGGGGAGTCTGCTTGGGATTCTCTCTCCCTCTTGCTCTGCCCCTCTCCCCATTGATGCGTGCACTCACTCTCTCTCTCTGCCTAAAATAGAGAAATCTTTATAAAAAAATAATAAAAAGAGCTTGTTTGACACAATATAATATTTGCCATTATTCTTCCAAACATAGCTTAATGAGAACTCGCTGTCCATATTTTTAGACATATTTTACACAGTTCCCCAGGCTCATACCTACACTGCAGGATCTGAGATCAGAGTACAAATGCAGGTCCATTCATATACCATTTAAAACTATAAATCAGGCTACAAACTGTTAAATACATTCTATTCTCCTAACTTGTAAATATCTCAGCCACCTGAAAGGCCAGGTTCCCATTCAGAATGCTCAGACTCTGTGAAGTTCCATGCAAAAACATGTTGGCACGCCAGAGCCCTCAGCCACCCCCTTCTCTTTACTCACACCCCCACCAGCAGCAGCACCTTGATCACCCACCAGAGCCCGGGCAGAGTCTTCCATCAGGACAATGGGGCAATAAACAGAGAAAGAGGCCCCTGTGGGCCCTGGAAGTGCTCTGAGCAGCTTGGGCTGGAAATTTCAAGTCTTAGGGATACAAACTGTGTTCCAGAAGGGGATGCGGGCACACATCCCCTCAGTGCTGCAGACCACCCACCCAGTGGCGAGGGGCACAACTGTTCGGAGAGGCTGAGCAAAAGGCCCTTTGAAACCAGGACCCAGGGCAGGGCTCCTCTTGCCCAGTTCTAAGGGCTAAGCTGTAGACCTTATCACGCAGCTTACCATTTACATCCTTTCACATCCAACCTACCCAAATAGATTTAAACTACAAGAATTTTTTTTTTAAAGAGAAATATAGGTGTTGGAGATGAGCTACCTACTGCAAGTGCGGGCCTTGACAGCTTAAGCAAAAAGGAAAAGACCTCAGTTAGGCATTCTTAAATGAAGTAATTTATGCAAGTTCGTTTGTTGAAGGAGACAATGTTTTTCAACATGTCCAATTCCAGGAACATTTCATTGTGTTCATATTATACAAAATTCATCAGGTGATATATGAATTTCAAAAAAATGTAATACATTACACAAACAGGAAAGATCATTTGTCTTCCTAAGGAGGTGATAAATACCACATTACACAACAGACTGCCTCACTGATATTATTAGCCACGAGTTCCATTTGCAGTTTACTGCTCATCTTAAAGGCTTAGCATTATTTACCTGTAGTAACCCCCAATCATAACCACTCAGACAATTGATTCTGTTTAATCACTGATGTTTCTGAAATGGGGAAAAGGCTGGATTATTTTTGTTTGAAGTTAGCACAGCAAGTCCCATAGTATGGTATAATTAAGAACAACCGTTTACTTTTTCTTAAATTCAACACCCCTCACCCCCACCTCAAAAGCTAGACATTAAAGTACTAAATATAATGATCTTGGAAAACCAAATTGCTATGTTCCTGGCAGCCCTTCCCTGGTTTCCCTTAAACATTTCTATCTGAAATGATGATGAATAAAAAAAGGAAAAAAAAAAAGAAAGAAACCTGGAAAATACACAGCTATCCCTTCACTGTATGTTCCACCTAACCATCAGCGTTTCCGTTCGAGTACTGAAAAACAGTCCCTCCCTCCTTCCTCCGTCCATTTTTGGCTGTTTTAGATTGTTACCTGCACTGTTTCAAATGTCCTCGGGGCACACCATGCAGGATCATGAGACACCAGCCTGCTATTTTACGTCTGTGAGTTAGTCTCCCCATATAGATTGGGGGATGTTTCTGAGGGCCTTGGTCATCTTGGTATGTTCGGTATCCCCACCAGGGCCCGACTCACACAAGTACCCACAGTGTTATCTTTTTGCCCTCACGAACTATGCAGTACTGACAGGTAGTCCTGGCATAAAGAATGTCTGCCTCAGTTCCCTGTGGAAGCGGATTAAGCCAGTGTGCCTACTAGCACAAGGTTTCGAATCTAAGACTTAGAAAGTCTAGATGTAAGATCCTGGGTGATTCCATTCAAATCCCACTGGATAGAGGCTGACAGAGAACTCCCAGAACTTGGTGGCAAAGACAAGACTGACAAGGCACGCCCTTGCGAAATCTTTTCTAAGACACACTTCATTTTAATTACATTTTATAATCATCAGGGGACCAGGTTTGACTATGCTTTGAGTAATTATACAACATTGCACTTAATACAAGGTTGTTTTTTAGAGGTGACATTAAAAAGCCATCAGATCCTGGAAAAGCTTAGAAGGGAATCATTCTGCAAGGGGTTGGAATAGGTGAGCAATACAGTATGGCAGCTGACAGCTTTCTTCTGCCCCCAGCTACCTACTCTTTTAAATGTGTTTTCACCCTGTGGGCTGCCTGTGACCACTCCTGGGAAGAGATGAGCTATAAAGTCTGAAGACAGACAGATAACTACGTGGATTTCATTGCTTACCTAAGCACAATTTTGTGGTCACCAAAAAACTAAGTAAGTAATGTTTCTTTTTTAAGGTGGTGCACGGAGCCTGGCTGAACATATTTACTAGCCTTTGAATTGCTCCCAAGATACAGTTTTGTGGGGTTTTTTTGGTCGATTTCATATGCTGAACTGTTCTGTCCACAAACGTAATAGACTTAGATATAACTACCACATGATAAAATATTTTATGCACAGCATCTTCAGTAATGTGTTGTAATGTAGTTGTTTAGCCTACGATAAGTAATCCCACACAACTTAGCTGTTAATTTAAATGTTTAAATTTAAAGCCTAAAAATAAATTATGGGGACCCCTGGGTGGCTCAGTCAGTTAAGCGTTTGACTCTAAGTTTAGGCTCAGGTCATGATCTCATGGGTCATGAGATTGAGTCCCGTGGGCTCTGCGATTGGAGACAGTCTGCTTGGGATGCTCTCCCTCTGCCCTTCCCCTGACTTGCGCATGCACGTGCGCGCATGCGCGCGCTGCCTTTCTCACTAAAATAAATAAATCTTTAAAAAATTATATAGTGGGCCATCAGAAAAAATAACTTCATCTAGAGTGTGATCAACATCTTTCCCTTTTTTTAATATTCTAGAATAAAATACAATTCATTGGCATTCTGTGGCCATCTGTATATCTTTTTTAAAGTACATTTTTGGCACAGTCCCGTCGAATATCACTTTCTCAAAGTCCAAAAAAGCTGCTGTACTCAGAAACAGGCCCATGAATAAATGAATAACTTAATGTAGGACAACAAAGGCATTTCAAATCACCGACAAATGAATGGACAATTTAATCAAGGGTATTGGGACAAGTGGTGATCACAATGGAACAAAACAACCTCACACAACTCCTAGCATACCAAAACCAAAACAAAAATCCCCAAAAGACCCTTCCTCATATCCTACCAAAAAAAAAAAAAGAAAAAAGGATGCTAGATAAATGAAAGAATTAAGTATGAAAAGCAAAAGTTTAAAACACTGGGGGAGGGGAAAAATATATATATATATATAAGATCAGGCTAGGGAAAAGTTTCTAAAACAAGACCAATAAACACAAACCATAAAGGAAACAGACTGACAAATATGACTACAATAAAAAACTCATGTGCATCAAAAAATGCCATGAATAAATGAAAAGATAAAGCATGGCCAAAGCTGGTCTCCTGGTGATTACAAAATGTAATTAAAAAACAAAGTGCAGCTTAAAAAGATTTCACAAGGGCAGACTGGGAGTAGATACTCGTAACCATACAAGCAACACAGGATTATTATCCTGAAGATATAAACACAACAGATCAACAAGAAAATAAAAGCCCAATAGCCAAATGGACAGAAGACATGCATTTTTCCAAAGAGGAACACTGGCTAGCCAATTAACTTATAAAAATGTGCCCGATCTCATTAGTAAGTAATCAGGTAAATAAAAACTTAAACCATTACCATTCACACCTCCGGACCGGCAAAAATTTTTAATTCTAACAATACCAGGTGTTGGCAATGGAGGAACCTCAACTCTGATGTCCTGATCGTAAGTGTATAAATTGGTACTTTGTGTAAATTTCCACTGTGGAAAGCAATTTAACAACATCTAATAAAGTTGAAGCCTGAAGAAGCAAACCTGTGAGAAGGTCCTGGAAGAGTGGTTTGTTTTTAAATGAGTCTACCACGAGGTGCTATTTCTAAAAGAATTGTAAATTTAAAGGCCGGGAGCCAAGCAGTAGGGGGTAGCAGATAATTAAAGAAGAGGTGTAGGTCACCTGACAAATGTTGCCAAGTACCTTTCTAACTTTTGATGATTTTATTAGCCCTTCACATGCAGTGTTGTTTTAAAAGGGTGATGTTTTTAAAGGAGCTCTTTGGCGCATAACAGAAACCCACAATAATGTTATTTTCCAACTTCCCCATTGCTTTTTCCTAGTAACGTTAATGTAGCATTCTGATTCTTCCATGAGGATGTTGCCGTTAGTCTTCCAAATTTTGATGGCCTGTGGATTTCAGCCAGGTTAAGTGCATTTGGTCCATGAAAGAGAAAGCTGGTCATCTCAGGTTTTTGGTTGTTAATTTCTTTATGTCAGTGCCAAGTTGAAACATAAACTAGTCACTATTCTTACTGTTCAGTTGAATCACTTGCTAAGGCTTTTGTAGGTTACTGGGTCTTTCATACCCAAACTATCAGATACACTAACTTTTTGATGATTTACATTCCATAGAATCTCCTTTGATCATTTATATTTTCATTCTCTTTATTGGGTACTGTGTGCCTGCTCAACTCTGGGGATGTCAAGCTCCTTAGCACATGGTTCTTACTCTCCAGGAGCTTATATAATATATATCTAAACTTAACCGATTTTAACAAAGAGATCACCCAAACCTGCCTTAAATGAGTCTCTCTAGGACACATCAAAAATACACAACCTCCTGGGGCGCCTGGTGGCTCAGTTGGTTAAGTGACTGCCTTCAGCTCAGGTCATGATCCTGGAGTCCCGGGATCGAGTCCCGCATCGGGCTCTCTGCTGTCAGCAGGGAGTCTGCTTCTCCCTCTGACCTTCCCCCCTCATGCTATCTCATTCTCTCTCTCAAATAAATAAATAAAATCTTAAAAAAAAAAAAAAATACACAACCTCCGTACTGCCCTCACTTAATTATCATTTAATATAGCCAGTTACCTTGAAGATGTGTGGAGAAATTGGGAGAGAAAAAAATTGAGCATTTGGGAGAATTACTGGTTTTTAAAAATTAAGTAAAACCAAATCTGAATAATTGTTCTTGGTGAGTATAAAGTCTGAAGAGGGCATGGCAGTTAGAATTCCTTAAGATTCTATCACACGATTTCTTGTAAAGGCAGCAGTGGCCCAAAAAACTTGAGTTTGGCCGCAGTGGTATAAATTATGACCTTGCATAACTCATTTTTTGAAACTTGATTCTTGCTGGTAAATAATAAAAAGCTAACATTTGAGCCCTTACTCTGTGCCATGCACCAATCTAAGCCTCACAACGACCCAGAAGAAAGTTGCTATGGATTGAATGTTTGTGTCCCTCTACATTCCTATGTTGAAATCCTAACCCCCAAAGTGATAGTATTAGGAGAGGGTGCCCTGGGGAGGTGACTAGGTCATAAAGGTGCAGCCCTCATGAACAGGATTGGTACCCTTATAAAAGAGACCACAGAGAGCTCCTTGACCCTCCCACTCCATGGACACAGAGAGAAGAGAGCCATCTATGAACCAGGAAGCTGGCTTTCACCAGACATTGAATCTGCCAGCACCTTGATCTTGGACTTCCCAGCCTTCAGAACTTTGAGAAATAAACTTGTTTATAAGCCACCCAGTCTATGGTATTCTCTTCTGCATCTCGAATGGACGGAGACGGAGTTGCCATGATTATTCCTATTTTACAGATGCCCAAAAGACGGCCAACATCCCAGAGCCAGGAAGTGGCAGGGCCAGGATTTTAAGCCAGTAGTCTGGGCCCAGAGCCTCTGCTCAAAATCACCTTCACATTCTGCACCCCATGAGTAAATCGTATTTGCAGGAGTCAGCACTGCTTGTCGTGAATGTGAGGAGTAAACTGTAACATCACTAAGTATGTCTGAAGCACTATTGACTTCTAGTTCTGGAAATTTATAATGGTTTCTCAAGCCAGGTCTTGATCCTGCTACTAAAAGCAAGGAGTGAAGTAACAATGCTGACTTGACTTCCATGTGCAACAATTCAGTCTTGTGTTTCAGGCTCCCTAATTACCAATATGTTTGCCAAATGGCACCTTTCCTAAGTTTCCTGAATGATGTTCCTTCCAGGGAGCCACTGACTTTGGCATCTCATAGCCAAGTAGTATATCTTTACAATTCACAGTACTATTTTACCTTATGAGGCACCTGTCAGCACTTTGCTTTTTTCCTTCAAGATTTTACCATCTCTTCGCTACTAAGAGGTCATCTGTTGACTGCTTCACTCAAAATGCAATACAGGGTTTTAAGATTCAGTCTTCACATATTTGTCAGTTAAGATGGACAGTCTGTGCTACTATCCCTGAAAAAGACATACTTCCTCGCCTCTCAGCCTTGGGCTTGGCAATGCAATGTGCTTTGACCAACTGGACAGAGACAGACCTGAAACAGAGGCTAGAGATGTGCCCCGTCATTGTGCTTGCCCTCCTGTCTTCCGCCATGAGACCATGTCTCAGGTAACCACTGGTCCAAGGAGGATGAGAGGCGTGTGGAGCAGACCTAGACCCAAAATACAGCTTGGAGAAAAGCTCAGCAGAGCCCAGCCTGGATCAGCTGAACCCCAGCTAACGCACAGGTGGGGGAGAGAGAAATCAACACTTGCTACTATAAACTGTTGAAATTGGAAGTCGGCTTCCTAGGCAGTACCACTGCAGTTAACAGCTGACTGATACAGAATAAAGCCTCCTCTGTTTGCCATCTAATTATCTTGAAGACCACCTGTATTCATTTCCAGGGATGAATGTAACAAAGTACCACAAGCTGGGTGGCTTAAACAACAAATTTATTGTCTCACAGGTCTGGAGGCTAAACCTCTGAAATCGAGGTGTCAACAGGGTTGGTTCCTTCTGAGGGCTGTGAGAAAGAATCAGTTTCATGCCTTTCTCCTGAGGCGTTCCTTGGCTTGTAGAATAATGTTCTCCTGTCCCCACAATGTACGTTTCTGGGTCCAAATCTCCCTTTATAAGGATATTAGTCATATCAGGTGAGGACCCACCCTAATGACCTCATCTTAACTTGACCACCTGCAAGGACCCGATTTCCAGACAAGATCATGTTCACAGGTACTGGGGGGTTGGGACTTCAACAGCTTTTGTGGAGGACACGATTCGACCACAGCAGCAGCCCAGATGTCCTTCTGGTGGGGGAGAAATAAGACTGGAAGGGCTGATGGCCTTTGGTTAAGGCAAATCTAAGAGTTGATTTTTTTTTTTTTTAAGATTTTGTTTGAGAGAATCTCAAGCAGACTGTGCTGAGCGCGGCGCCCGACATGAGGTTCGATCTCATGATCTTGAGATCACGACCTGAGCCGAATCCAAGAGTCAGACGCTTAAAAAGGCTCATCCAGGCGCCCAAGAGTTATTCACCTTTTTGTAGAGCTGTAGTTGGGATAAATAATTGGGTTTTGCTGTCTTCTTCTAAACGATTGGGGTTTTAAAAACCACTTGTATAAATCACCTCCATCCCTACCCATCCCCTAGTGAAAACCTGTGCTTTCTTTATTGTTCTTTGCTCCTTAAGAGGCTGCCCACAGGTTTTCTTCCTCTACACAATGCCCTGAAGAGCCCCCAAACATTGTCTTCCGAGACCCCCTACACAGAGGCTGCGGTGGCCAAAGCGGCCAATAAGTGCTGCTGAAAGCTCTGGTATGTAACCTCTAATCCTTCCCCTTATTATTCTTCGCATTTTGAATAAACCTGCAAAAGACCCAACCTCGAATTGAAATTTGTTCTGGGTTTTACTCTCCACAGAAATAAACTTAACCTAAACCCATGAAATCAAAGCACAATCCAGGCTTCAGTAAGTTACATGTTTAGTTGAATAAGAAGTATAATCCCTTATCCTTGTGTTGAGAACCTTCTAGCTGTCGGGGCAATGTCCGCACCCTGAACGGGGGTTCTCCATATCCTTTCAGAATTGTGAGGACAACTCGAAAATTTCGACACTGTTCCTTGCCTCAAGGTCTCCACTAATTGGCCTCCAGCCGCTGCCAATTTTTCAAATGCTGGGGGTGTAAATGCCTTTTGGTTTGGGGAGTACTGGGAGCTTAAAATCAAGCCCCAAATTAATGGTTTATCCAATTGCCTTTTTTTTTAAGATTTTATTTATTTATTTGACAGAGACACAGCGAGAGAGGGAACACAAGCAAGGGAAGTGGGAGAGGGAGAAGCAGGCTTCCCGCTGAGCAGGGAGCCCAATGCGGGGCTCGATCCCGGGACCCTGGGATCATGACCTGAGCCGAAGGCAGACGCTTAACCCACTGAGCCACCCAGGCGCCCCGATCCAATTGCCGTTTTAACAAAATCCACGAGAACATTTCTAACCCTTGGAAATCAAACAAACTCACTTGAGCAATTACGGCAGCAACAACTATTACTTTTGAGGCTACCTGTCACAGTAAGTTGATATTCAAAACATTTGGATTCAGCAGTGGGCCACGCAAGAGCTTTCTGCATTTTCCTACAGGGCCCCCCATCTTTCTTTCCACTTACAGCACTCTCGCTGAGAACTACTCCGAGCGTGGTCCGCACCCAGGCAGCACTGACGTCCGCCGACTGGACTGTGAGACATGCAGACTCCGGGGCCCGGCCCCAGACCTACTGATCAGACTGTTTTTTAAGAAAATACAATCAGGTAATCCTTCTGCGCACTCAAGTTTGAGAAGCACTGCCCTCTTTTTTCTATTCCTGTTTCTGAATAGCAGGACAACTACTGTTCCACCTGAACCTTTTAAAGTCCTCAGCCAGTTTTCCTGTAGAACTAATTAAATAGTTTTTTACTGTGGTCCTATTTGTAAACCTAAAATAGTATAATGTGGGGCTCTTTGCCTTCAGTAAAGAGGAGGTTTCAGGCTCGCTCTCCCTCTCTCCATTCCTCTCCTCTGCCACAGACCTAGGGAAAGAAAACCAGCCTCTTCATGCCCTGCAGCATCTTAGCAGAAGCTCAGGAACAAGCATCTCACAGCAAAGAAACAGTGGTGTCTTTGAAGCGAGATCTCTGCCCGAGACCTTTACCCTCTAAGCCAGCAGGACCCACAAGAATCCGCAAGTGGATGGAGAGCCAACTGCCACACGATCCTCTTCCTCTTGCTGGCTCAGCCTTCATGGTCTCTGGCGGGGACCCTGGCAGATACTGTGTAGGGAGTCAGAAAGCCTCAAAACCAGTGTAGCCGTTAGAACTTCTGCCTCAAGAACATCGCATCCTGTACTATATCTTAAAAGCGGCACATACTTATTTCGTCCCTTGAGCCTTATTCCTCTTAGGTTTTTGGTTCTGTGTCCAAAAACCTTGCTATCGTGTCCATCAGGCAGACAGGAGACCAATTGTGCCAGGAGCACCCCTTTCTTAATTTTTTTTAAGATTTTATTTAAGGGGCGCCTGGATGGCTCAGTCAGTTGAGTCTGACTCTTGGTCTCAGCTCACGTCTTGATCTCAGGATCATGAGTTCAAGCCCTGCATTGGACTCACGCTGAGTGTGGAGCCTACTTAAAAAAAAAAAAATCATTTTACTTTAAGCAATCTCTACACCCAACATGAGGCTCGAATTTAGAACCCCGAGATCAAGAGTTGCACTGTCCACCAACAGAGCCAACCAGGCATCCCTATTTTTTTTCTTAATGTTTAATGTTTTACTTGGAAAGAATTTTAAACTTAGAGAAAGGTTGCAATAAGGACTTGAGTAAATTTAATACCAATACAATACTTGTATCGAAACTACCGTTCATATTCCAGTTTGTCAACTGATGCAATAATCCCCTTTAAGCATCTTTCCTCCAATATGGGACCCAGGGTAGGGCCAGGTGTCACATTTTGTTGCCACATCTCTTTAGCCTCCTTTAATCTGGAAACCTTTTCAGCCTTTTGTGTCTTTTGACATTAATACTTTTAAAGAACACAGGCCTTTTTAAAACAGAATATTCTCCTTTTGGGTCTAATGCTTCCCCGTGATCAGATTCAGATATGCATTCTTAGCCAGCCACAGGACTGCACAGGTGGTGATGGGCCCTTCACAGAGTACTGGACGCTCGTATGTCCACCTGCCCCTTGTTGGTGATTTTGATCACCTGGGCAAGGTGTTGTTCAATTTTGCCATTATCAAGTTGTTTTCTCTAGCAGTAAGTGGGAGGCTGAAGAAGGGCCCCCTCTGGATGTCTACATCCAAATCCCAGAACCTTGTCCGTTACTTTATGTGAATGTTTCCTTATATCGCAAAAGGAACTTTGTGGCTGTGGGAAGATCTTGAATTGGGGAGACGGTGGATTACTGGGGATTATTATGTAATCCCAAAGGGGCCTTACCACAGGGACACAGACAAGTCAGAAAGAGAAGACAACGTGAAGACAGTAGCAGAGGATACTACAGAGCTGGCTCTGAAACTGGAGGAAGAGACCAGAAGCCAAAGCATGCAGATGGCCTCTAGAAGCTAGATAAGGCAGGAAAATGGATTCTCCCCTCAACTTTCCAGATGCAACCAGCCCTGCCCACACCTTGATTTGAGCCCTGTTACGACTAGTTTGAGACAGGCACCTGGGTGGCTCAGTCGTTAAGCATCTGCCTTCGGCTCAGGTCCTGATCCCAGAGTCCTGGGATCGAGCCTCACATCGGGCTCCCTGCTCAGTGGGGAGCCTGCTTCTCCCTCTCCCACTCCCCCTGCTTGTGTTTCTTCTCTCGCTGTGTCTCTCTCTGTCGAAATAAATAAATAAAATCTTAAAAAAAAAAAAAGACTAGTTTCAGACTTCTGATCTCCAGAACTGTAAGATGATAAATTTTGTGTCCTTTTAAAGGAAGGAAGTTTGCTGTTAACTTGCTCGAGCTACAATAGGAACCTGATACACAACTCATAAGCAATCTGTAGGAGATGCTTTACAGCCACATAAACAGGCTCCTTGTCAAATTTTCCCCAAGATTTTACATCAGAGGGTGACTTCTGCCTGATTCGGTCTTCACTGTGATGATTACAAAATGCTAATTTTTCAACTCCAGCACTCACAAAACGTTGTTGGCACTCAGCATTCTATGGTAAGCATGTTATGTTTACGTGTCCTCATTTATTTGTACATGTTTTCCATATACCCTCTTAAATTTTTTTTTCAATGGCTTGTAATTCATTACTATTCTTAACTATTTTAGTGCACAAACCCTTCTGGATTTATCCACTGGAAGCCAAGGGCCAGGCTGTCTTGTGGCCTTGCTGCCTGGTCTCCATGGACCAGCACTGGGACCCAAGCCATGGCCCAAAGCAGACGCCTGGTACAAGAATTCCACCTAATGGGTGGGGAGTCACCAAGGACGGAGACATTCAAGAGTGTAAGTTGACAGTGGACCACAAAGAGGAAAAAAAAAAAAGAAAACTCACAGATATGGCTGACACCAAAATGGCCGCAGATCCTCACGTTGTTCAGTTTTACGGTCTGAATGCTGTACACCTTCCTGAGTTTCTGTGCTTCTTCAGCCCTTTAGGGCACCAAGGAGCCCAAAAGACACAAGCCCTAGTGAAAGGCCCCTTTCGCCAACACAGCACTTTCACCCATACTGGGACGGTACCCTCACTTGGGTAGGGTGGACATTCTTGCTCCTTCTATGTGTGAAGGTGCAAGGACTTCTCCCTGTATCTGTTTTTCTTCTTGAACATACCCAACCCTGTGTAATGTCTTCACACCAGCCTATTTCCTCCATGTCCCACTTGGAAAATGCAATTCCAAGAACTCCCTCTTACGGCGCACTTGAACCTCCTAGGTACCTACTACATGTGCAAAGCGTTAAACAAACGTGACCAAGAGGGACCGGGTCATGGCCGTTGGAGCGTACATTCTCGCCATCTGTCAACCAGACTTGCCCTCAAGAACTTGCCTCCTCTGCCCCCAGACTTCAGTTAAAAACCTCCAGCTCTTACAGGGCAGTCAAAACCCATACTGAGGTGTATTCTTTCTCACCAGGGCACACTGTCTCTTCAGACGTTAAACGTTTAAACATATGTGGATGATACATAATGAAGAATATTTAATATGCCTTGAGGAAAAAGTAGAAACACTGAGTGTGAAGGGCCCGCACATGGCGTGTTGGTAGAAGCTCCCCCTCAGCACTGGGAGAGAGGATGGGGAATTTCGTGTTATCAAATTTAACTCACACAACCGAACGCAGGCAAAGGCAGAGTTGTCTAGAAAGTAGAAGACATGGAATGTAGCCCAAGGAGCATTTCTGTCCCTCTGCAATGAATTTAGAGCTGTCCGAATCCCTTAGTGGAGAACCTAAATTACCAACATAATCATCAACCTATCAGGGGCAATCTCTCCTAAGTTAACACCTGAGTCAAAGCCCTTGTCTATGGAGACCTGCCCGTTGCCTGTATTTATAATCCTGGGTTTTCATCTCTAGCCAGTGGGGTGGGACAACCCTCCAGGCTTCCCTCTTTGGATATTGGAGGGCTTCTGTCAAAACAGACCTGGCTTGTTTAGCTTGCTTTTAATTTCTTCTGCTACATTCCTGAGCAAATTGGCACAGAGAGGGGCCTGTTCCCTGATACTTCATCATAAAGCCGCTGCTCACTGAAATGGCCACATCACTGGCTGCTGCCCAGGGACCGCGTCTGCATTAATGAGCTGGCCAGGGTGTCTGCGAGACCCCCAGATACAGGAGATAAGCATTACCTGTCCAGTCACATTTATCATCTGATTTCCCAGGGAAATCACATCCGAGAGTATTCAAAAAGCTTTCCAAAAGCACTGGGCTGTTTCTTGCCCATGTTCTATTTCTCATTTTTGAAATAATGAGTAAAGCACAAATCGGTGGAATGACGGCAGTAGGTAATTGAGATTTTAAATGGTTCTGGCCGAGAGGAACTGATCTGCCAGCACTCATTTGAGGTTCTGACAGCAGGGTGAAGGGACCCAGCTACCCCTCCCCACCACCTAAACACAATCAAACAATGGAAGCAAACACCGCAGGCTAGAGGTTCTTAAACTGGGACCTATGGACAGAACTGTGTGTCCCTAAACTTGAATGGCAAAACATTTCTATCTTTACTTGCACTAACCTCTACCTGAGATGTAGCACTTCCTTTAAGCATGAACGTAGGTAACAAACCATATTAGTACTGGCAGTAACTAGGACTCTGTCAACAAGAGAAATCAGATGCATTCTTAACCACATTGCACTTGCTGCAGGTCTTATAAATATTTATGTCCATTACTACTCCCAAAATATGGTATCTGATCCACCACAAGATCCAGCTATGTAAGAAGTTATGACAGCTCAAATACTGACATTAATTTTTAAAAAGCAATATAACTCGTTTCCTCGTCATCAATCATATCTACTTTATGTATTAAAAAACAGGTTTCAGCAAGCTGCCAAAGGAGTCCAAGGTACAAAAAGAAAGGTTAAGAACCCCTGTGGTAGGCTTACAGATAGCCAATTTGGAATGCTGGAACACAGAGTCAAATCGTGACTAGCTGTGGGACCCCTGAGGCACATTTCACATCTTGACTACTGGCCCACTCGGTGATAGGAACACTGAATTCACAAAGCTATTTTCAAACTGTGCAAGATAATGTAAATAAAAGGGGTTTGTTAGCCCAACGCACAGCAATATAAAAGATTATTTAGTACAAAGACACACAGCAACAGGGTGATAGAAAGAGGCTGAGTGTTTCTTCACGGCCACATAGCGGCTCCTATCGTCAAGCAATGCCGCCCAACCGGCGTCTAGAACAGTGTCACAGCAAGTGTTATTCCAGACTGGGTGAGGAGCACAACCGTAGTGTCAACCAGCAGACAGCTTCCTTCTCGAAGAAGGTCTTGCTAGGAACAAGAAATTCAGCTGAAGTAAAACAAAGTGCTTAGAAACCAAGAACTGGCCGAAGGACCACATTTTGAGGAGAGCTGCTCTCAAGGCTCAAATACAGGTCAGGGACATGTGACCTCACACACACACTTCCTGTGCCCAATCCCAGGAGTCATGGGAACGGAACAAAATTCATCCATCTGAGACAGACGCAAACTCCTATTCAGTAATAGTTAACGCAAGCAAGGGGGTGATGATTCAACTGCACCGGAAGTAGTAGGCACCGTTTTATTTTGACATCAGCACTGCTCTAGCCCAGTAAAAAGTTAACCCAGCCTTCCTCCAGCCCACCATTACTGGGGTTTTTAAGATATTCAGTCACCCTCTCCCTCTGCCCTTCCCCAAGCTCGCTCAAATAAAAAAACTTCATTTAAAAACTGGGGGGGGGGGGGGGGGGTTGTGCCTGGGTGGCTCAGTCGTTGAGCTTCTGCCTTCAGCTCAGGTCATGATCTCAGGGTCCTGGGTTCGAGCCCCACATCGGGCTCCCTGCTCAGCAGGAAGCCTGCTTCTCCCTCTCTCACTCTCCCAGCTTGTGTTCCCTCTCTCGCTGTGTCTGTCACATAAATAAATAAAATCTTTAAAAATAATAATAATAAAATAAAAACCGGGGAGGGGGTGCCCGCCGGGGTGGCTCAGTCGGTTGAGCATCCGACTTTTGAGCTGGGCTCAGGTCATGATCTCAGGGTCATGGGACCAAGCCCCACATTGGGCTCTGCACTCAGCAGGGAATCTGCCTGTGATTCTCTCTGCTCTCTCAACTTAAAAAAAAAAAAATTGCATAAAATATTCAATCACATTTGTAGGAGAAAGCAGCATTTTTAAAAATAAACCAATTCTTGATATCTGCTCATGTGTTGAATGGAATTTCTATTATAGCCAGTATTTGTCTTTAATTAAAAAAATGGCTGTATGATAAGATGGTCTATTGTTTGATTATATATAGATCATATAAAGCATAACAGCCATTAAAGTAAAATAATGGTTTAGATCGTATTACATTTCCTTAAAATGCAGCAAAAGTAGAGGCTGTTTTTAGCTATCACAGTTCAGTTTGCCTTAACAGTTACAAAGATGTTCAAAAACAAGCAGGCATCATCCTTTCTCCAATACAAAAAATGAGCAGGGTCGGAATCTACCACATCACCCCCAACAAGTATCTCGTTTCCTTCTTGCTCCCACACCGCACCCCTCACTCTCTCCCAAATGCATCCTCTATGGTCTGGCCCAGCCTGCTCCACCTCAGTTCTAACTCTCAGCTCTGGGCGGGACGAGTGTGTCATTAGACTCAGCACTGGCTTGAGCCTTGGCACCAAGCTCACCTTCAAGTATAAAGTTATGCCCCACATATTAGTAACACCATATCCAGACAGCAAATAGACTTAGTTTCTTTTCTAAAATGGAAAAAAAAAAATCCAATTTCGTTAAGCTAAAATGGTGTTCTAACAGTCATAATACCACCATTTTGAATCTCACACGGTAGGCAAAAACAAAGCCTTTGCAAAGCATTACAGAAGAGTCTGAGGGGGTAGGTAGGATTCTTAATGTCCACCAATGCTGCTTTTAAGCTCTATGCACAAGAAAAATATTTGCTGAAAGCCGATCTAGTTCCAACATGACTGCCTCTCCCTTTATTGTTACTGTTTCTTCTCCCATGCCAATCCAGTAAAAAAGTAAAGTCGGCATGCACTCACTTTTTAAAGAATATCCATTAGGGAGGCGCCTGGATGCCTCAGTAGGTAGAGCATGCAATTCTTTATCTTGGGGTCATGAGTTCAAGCCCCACGTTGGTGGAAATTACTTAAAAATAAAATCTTAGGGGCGCCTGGGTGGCTCAGTCGTTAGGCGTCTGCCTTCAGCTCAGGTCATGATCCCAGGGTCCTGGGATCGAGCCCCGAATCGGGCTCCCTGCTCAGCCGAGACCCTGCTTCTCCCTCTCCCACTCCCCCTGCTTGTGTTCCCTCTCTGTCAAATAAATAAAATCTTAAAAAAAAAAATCTTTAAATGAACAAACAAACAAAAGATACCCCACTGGGGCGCCTGGGTGCCTCAGTTGTTACGCTTCTGCCTTTGGCTCAGGTCATGATCCCAGGGTCCTGGGATTGAGCCCCACATCAGGCTCCCTGCTCAGTGGGGAGCCTGCTTCTCTCTCTCCCACTCCCCCTGCTTGTGTTCCCTCTCTCGCTGTGTCTCTGTCAAATAAAAAATAAAATCTTCAAAAAATAAATAAAATAAAATCTTAAAAAAAATGAAAACAATGATTAAAAAAAAAAGAACATCTGTCAGACAAACCTATCTTGGGAAGAAGGATGTTCTGGGTTGACTCTAATTCTATCTCAAAACACACACTATTTCCATTTTTAATGCTTTGCTTACTGCAAATTCACCATAAATGAACTCAATCCCTTGATACAGCATAAACCTTTTACGAAAACAATATAAGCAGTGATGTCTACTAATCGGAGTCAGTTACATCTCCACCCACGAATACACTACACCAAGCCCTTCCTTAGGGGAGTTTACACTCTCTTGTTGCGTGTCTCTCCACAAGCTAGCATCCTATCTCTGTGCATCTAAAAATCTTAAAAAGTTTCACTGCAGCAATCCAAAATGATCTTTATTTCCACATCTAATACACCACTAAGAGTGGGAATAGAAATAAGCTTCTGACTTTCAACTTTACAGTAAGGCCAAATCTTTTCCTATCTTCGGGTCAATTTTATAATGAAGAACTGGTGAATGTAATAGGTTGTGTATCATTTACCACGGTGGTAAAAGAAGTCATTACTACTGTTCAAAAAAGGCCGAAAGGCCATCCCGTTATAAAGAGATAAATGGCACTGAGTGATAGAATAGAACTAAAAAAAGACCAGTAGACACCTTTGTTCTGTGAGATCAGCAGTGAGAAAGTAGGGACCTGGCTGAAATAAAACAACAAACACATGAAATTTCTCATTTATAATTTTAATCGAAGCATTGCTATTCATTTTTTTTCTTAACTCTTTCTTATAAGCACCAAATTTTAATAGCTAAGTCAATTTTGGGGGAAAGAAACACCATCCAAGAACTTCCCTCCGGAACAAAACAATGATGTTCATTCCTCCAAACAACCAAATTCAAAGTCTACCGAAACAAAAACAAAAAGCCCACACACACACACACAAAAGTAACAAAAATCACATTCTAGGGGTTCAGTGCATTTAGCAGCCTTCGCTGTGCTGTCTAATCATCCTTCAGCTGACTTTCGAAAAAATTAACACCCTAGCGCATCAAAATATACATTTTCCATTTGCTTTGTTTAAATTAAAAATAATAATCAAAAAAAGAAAACTTGAAGGAAATCACAATCAATTGCCTGACTCATTTCGATGTCATGTACAGCATGTGAAGGTCAAATCATGTGCAGCACATGTGATTAGGAGAGACTGGTCTTCAAGGTCCAGCTTTCTTCCAAACAGTGTAAAATACCCACCTGGACAGGGAGTCAAGGAATAAGAGCAGCTAATTCAAAGAAGAACAGGCAGCACGTAAAATCTGTTTGCTGGCCTACAAACTGGAGGACGGAGGAGTTTCATGGTTCGAAGCATTGCGGCAATGAGCATTAAGGCCTCTTTACAAGGCCACTTCACGGCCTGAACGCCTCTCACCTGCGACCAGGACGCCAGTGGGGTGAAGGGAGCAAAGTGGAGAAAAGGCTAAAGGCATACAAATATTCCCTCCGGTAATGCTACTGCTTCCTGGGTTTTAGGATGTTTTAGGGAATCAGGAGGAAGGGTGGGAGGGAGGTGGGAGATTGGGAGGGTGGGGGACGGCAAGAGGGGTGGGAAAATGAGAGGGAGGGTGAGAGAGGAGGAGAAAAAGACGGAAGGATGGAGGGGACCCAGAGGGCAGAGGCCTTTTCTCCAACTGTTATCAAATGATTTCTACAGTCTCTCAATATATAAACAGATCTGACTGTAAAAAATGCTGCAAAAGGAGGCCATGATGAAGGTGGACGGCTGGAGAGTGAGGGGGAGGTCAAGGATCTCCTCAGGCCATGGAAGAAAATGGCTGCCCCACAGACAGACCGCTCCCCTCCTTCCAGGGGGATCTAGGGGGCTTCCTAGGGCCTGTGTCTCTGTCAGAGGCTGCCGGGGGCTTGCAGGCAAGGACTTCCCCGAGGGCCTAGTAGTCACAGGATCCTAGACAGCAACGCAGACTGCTGTGACAGGAAACTGGACTTGGCCACCTCAGATAAGGAAGTTTTTATATCTGTTGACCAGAGTCCGCCTTTTAGGAGAAAGAAAAGCATTTTAAATTTCCACTGACAATCCTCATTCTGGTTTTTCTCTGGGTTCCTTTATTTCTCTGGACTAACTTCACTAAGGGGAACTAATGAAGAACACCAACATTAACTCTGCAATCGCCAGCATTATTTTTAGCTCGTGGTTTCTAGTGCAAATCAGGATCAAGTGAAGTGTAGAAACTAATATTAAAGTGGGGTTAATTTTAATATAAAAGCAGAATGAGCATATTCATTCTTTTTGCCTGCTGCAGCTCAGGGGTGCTTTCGACTAGGGCTTCGGAAGCTTTAGATGCACATCAGTCTCCAGGTAGGCCAGTTAAGATGGCTGCCCAAGCCTTGGCTCCAGCCTCTGATGGGTGGGGCTTGAGAACCAGCGGGGTTTACTCAGTAGAACTACCTGGGGAGCTATGGTAGGCCATGCCCCAGAAGCTGAGGGTGGGACCCAGGAATCAGTATTGTTTTAAAGTTTCAGGAAATTCCAATGTGCAGCCACATTGGAATACCATGGCCTTATGGAGTAAAGAGCGAATCCCATTTATTATTGGATTCAAATGCTGAAGTGGCATGGGATTTACTTGGGTGTTGTGATCTGACAACACAGTGTTTTGGTCTAAGGATACAATTCCAAGTATGAAGGAACACAGACGATCTCCTTTGAGAAGTCCACAGGACAATACAGGCGCCCGAGCTGTTCTTCATAGAGCGACAAGGCTTCTGTCAAATTGACACAGTTACCCTAAATCAAAGAAAGAAAAGCAAACAATGCGATTCTCGAGTCTCACTGAGGGCCCCCCGCTCATTTGAAGGTCTCTAATAAACGAAAACAATTTTAGCTTTAGATGAAAGTTCATCTTTGAAAATGAGATAAGGCTTCTGTACTTTGACAAATTGCATCCAGTTCTACTTATAGATCCATTAGCTCATTATTCTTCTACCTCATTTACCAAGCCATTTCAAATTATTCAGAGTATGAAGTGACAGAAAGCAGGGAGACCACTTTCTCACTAGTAACGCAGTCATTTTATCAACACCACACAATTAGCAAAGGTTCATACACATCGCCATTCAAAATGTTTGCCCAGTCGTCACCACGGTGTTGAGAATGAAGTATCAGAACGATAATGTTCTCGATTTCCAGAAGGGCTTAAAACTACAACCCTAATCTAAGACAATGACAAACTATATTCCCATCTCCATGCTTTCCCCCAGATATGTGATTTGCAGGCTTATGAGAACAAGCTTATTCAGAATATATGGACTAAGGCTAGCCCGCAATTCCACTCCTTATCAAACATCTTCTCCTGACTTCATTGTTCTAATTTTTCTCCCTTTCTTGCCACCACTTTTTCAGCTCCCCCCAGCAGCCAGGAGCGGTCAGGGAGAGACAGCGAAGTCGGGGGGGGGGGGTGACTGGGAAGGTTTCCCCTTCCGGACAACCAAGGATAAACAGAGTGACCCGCCTCTTCGCTCACTTCCTGCCTAGAACCTAGAGGGGACATTGGAAGCTCCAGCAGCCGCTCTGTGACCACGAAGGAAAAATGGGTGAATGAAATGCAGGCCAAGAACCGAGCAGAGCTATGGGTGCAGCATCTGCGTAGCTCCAGGGCAGTGGTGCTGCGGCTTTTTTATTTTTGTAAAGTCATCTCGCCGCCCAACGTGGGGCTCAAACTCAGGTGCCCAAGATCAAGAGTCCCACGTTCCACTGACTGAGCCAGCCGGGCGCCCCTAAAGCAAAGCTGCTTAATCTGTAATGTGCATGTGAATCACAAGTGATTTTCATTCCGTAGGTGTGGGGTAGGGCTTATCATTTTAGCACAATTTCCCCCAAGGGCTTTTCATAATGGGTACTTAATACCACCTATTTCCCTTTTAACCTCTGAAGTTCTTAACATTATGAAGACTACTGAATATGTGCTGATTCTATTTCTTCTTAACAACTTCACTATCAATGAGCCTCAGAACAGCCAAGTACAATGTAAAATGAAAATCATTTACAAATGAAGGCATCCTGTGATGTAAGCATCCCCACGGAGGGCATTTCAAAACCAACCAACCAGCCACAGGCAAGTGGGCAAAAAGAACTATTCTGAGAGCTACCATCAGTGGTTTTAACTTAGCACATTCGCTCAGCATGACATCGTTCTTCAGTGCCAGCCTGTTTAGTAACCCATCATCTAGGGTCCTGCAGTGGGATTTGGCCAAAGTGCCCTTGGCCAGTATATAATTTCGTTTCAAGATCAAGTTCACCATGAGAGTATATAAACACCACACGTGTAATTTAAGGTTCACAAATAGAAAACACTGCCTGGATGTTTTTAGAACACATCACCACTGGGGAAGCTATAGAATGGAAAATGCCACCTAGGTGCACAGTTCAATGGTTTCTCTTGCCATCTTAAAATTGACACCACACTCTCTTTATTGAGGTCATATGGGAGGACGTCATTACTGAGAATGTGGTAAGGATATAGGAAAGTTTCAATTTGTTCTTCCTCAACATTGTCAAAAAGCAGTTTAAGAAAAGAAAGGAAAACTCACCACAAATGGAGACCTACCCAAAAAAAGTAATGATACATTTTACTTTCCTGTGTTTTTAAATGGAAATACATTTCTTTCTTTTCTTAAGAAAGAGACATTGGATCTTTGCTGCCGTAACGGTGCGCATGAATGTCCTGGCAGATGTTCTCAAGAGCACTAACAATGCCGAGAAGAGAGGCAAACGCCAGGTACTTAATAAGCCAGGCTCCAAAGTCAATGTCTGGTTTCTCACTGTGATGTGCATGTGAATCACAAGTGATTTTCATTCCGTAGGTGTGGGGTAGGGCTTATCATTTTAGCACGGTTACATTGGTGAATCTGAAATCACTGATGATCACAGAGCTGGGAACACTGTTGTGAACCTCACAGGCAGGTGAAACAAGTGTGGAGTCATCAGCCCCAGATCTGATGTACAACTCAAAGATCTAGAAAAATGGCAGAAGAATCTGTACTGACACCCTTAGCTGGTGAAAACACACAGGAGGGAAAATCCTGGGATTCTTTTTCTAGGGATGGAATACATACATGCAAATAAAATGTCTCAATGGACCAAAAAAAAAAAAAAAAAGACACTGGAGATGCAGAACAAAAACCCAATAGCAGAGATTTAAATACCTCTTAAGGATGGGAAGGGAATCACTGGAGGGGAAGGCATTCTAAGAGGTGAATACCAATTCAGTAGTTTGGTCAAAGTTTTCCTTGCCCCATGTTACGTGTGGGTAGGTGACACTTGCTTTTTTACTTTATAGATTTCTGTACTGTTTTTATCTTTTATTATTATTTTTTTTAGAGAGAGCATGGGGGTGGATGGCGCAGAGGGAGAGGGAGGGAGAGAATCCCAAGTAGGTTCTACACCCATTGCGCAGCCCGACGTGGAGCTCAACCTGAGTCAAAATCAAGAGTAAGACACATGGGGTGCTTGGGTGGCACAGTCGGTTAAGCATCCGACTCTTGACTTAGGCCCAGGTCATGTTCTCAGGGTCGTAAAATCGAGCCCTGCGCCAGGCTCTGTGCGCAGCAGGGAGCCTGCTTGAGATTCTCTCCCTCTCCTTCTGCCCCTCCCACTCGTGCTCTTTCTCTCTCAAAAAATAAATCTTAAAAAAAAAAAAAAAGAGTCGACACTTAACCGACTGAGCCACCCAGGCACCTGTTTTTATCTTTTAAATTTTACAGTTAGCAGCATAAGATTTCTGTAATGTAAAAAAAAAAAAATAACAGGTCCAGAAGAATACATTCTTAACAAGTTCAAAAGCAAGGTAAACAATATGATGATTTAGGAAATTACACATATGTGAAACATCTATAAACAAAAGTACAGGGGCGCCTGGGTGGCTCAGTCGTTAAGTGTCTGCCTTCGGCTCAGGTCATGATCCCAGGGTCCTGGGATCGAGCCCCGCATCGGGCTCCCTGCTCCGCAGGAAGCTTGCTTCTCCCTCTTCCACTCCCCCCTGCTGTGTTCCTTCTCTCTCTGTGTCTCTCTCTGTCAAATAAATAAATAAAATCTTTAAAAAAAAAAAAAAAGAAAAGTACAAGGGGGCTCCTGGCTGGCTCACTCAGGAGAGTGTGTGAATCTTGATCTTGCAGTCATGAGTTTGAGCCCCACATTGGGCACAGAGTTTACTTAAAAAAAAAAAGAAAGAAAAAGAAGAATACGGGAATAAAAAAGAAATGGGTTACCTTCTGGAAGGTGAACAGGAATTAGGGAGGAATGTGGATATGCCAAGCGAGGGTACTAGTAACGTCCACTTCTCAAGTGAGGGGGGTTGGTATTTAGCATAATCATTTACAAGAATGCCACATACATAATTTTGTATCAAAGAACCTCTAGGGTTTTTTTAGTGGGAAGTGGGGAAGAGAAGGGAGGGAGGTCAAGTCCCAGGACTTGAATCTCTTGAAAGCCCATCTTCCTTGGATTCAAACCCACCGGGCCCACCAGAGCCAGCTCAATTCCCACCCACTCCACAGCGCAGCTCTTCGAAGCCCTCCCCATATAGACTTCCTATAAAGCATGGGTCTGCAAACTTCTGTCAAGGACCAGACTGAAATTGTTTAGGCTATGCAGATCACACAGTCCCCACCACAACTACTCAATGCTGCCCCTATAGATTAAGAGCAGCCAAAGGTAAAATGTCATGAATGGGTGTGGCTGTCTGCCAAGAAAATCTTATCAAAACAAGCAGTAGGGGAGATTTGGCCCATAGTTTGCAGACCCCTGCTTTCTAGAATGTGTTAAAAAAAAAATCATTTCTAAACATCAGGCCAAAAAAATCCATTCATAAACAGTTGTTGGTTTCCCTCGAAGCTTCCCAATATTTTCACCAAGTGCAAGGTCTAGGATTAATCACCATGGGGGGGGGGGGGGGTGTCTTCGTGCAGGGAGAAAAGAAGGAAAACAGGATGGACTGAAGACCAAATCAAGGTGTCTCTTAGAGTTGCCAAGTTGTTTTCAGCATTATTAATCTCAGATCCCATCAACTCCCCCGGGCCTGCATTAAAATGCCTCCTTGGAAGAATAAAGTTAAGACCTCTCTACTAGTTTTTGACATTAAATATACTAATGCTTTTTAAAGGGGTGGGGGAGGTCTACCGAAAGCACTTTAAGAATTACAGGGACCGGGCTGCCTGGGTGGCTCAGTCGTTAGGCGTCTGCCTTGGCTCAGGGTCATGATCCCAGGGTCCTGCGACTGAGCCCAGCATCGGGCTCCCTGCTCCACGGGAAGCCTGCTTCTCCCTCTCTCCCTCTGCCTGCCACTCTGCCTACTTGTGCTCTCTATCTCTCTGTCAAATAAATAAATGAAATCTTTAAAAAAAACAAAACAAAACAAGAAGAATTACAGGGACCATAGTGCAATACCACCCAAGTAAGTGTTTATCTTCTGCTTATGAATCAAGGGATTGTTGTACCAAGTAAAGAGACTCAGATCATCTTCAGAATTTTCTTCAGGGCTTTAGTAGGTTATATATATGTAATATATATTTTACATAACAAGATATACAAACTTTAAGCTTTCTTTTAAATTTTAAGAATCCCATAGAGAATGAGAAAGAAACAATTTGCTTCCATCTGGTGGTAGGAGCTCATACTACAGGCAAAGCAGTTTATGAAACTTATGTTGATAAACTGGCTTTCCAATGAAGAATCTCCTAGAGGGTTAGAAGAGCGAGAAGTCCAAAAAAACCCCAATCCCAATCTGTGTCTCCATCTGGTGGCAGCAGCGCATACTACAGCCAGAGCCCAAGGTTGCTCAACTGGACAGTGGGCACGGGGGACTCGCACGGACTCATGAATTCCCAAGAGATGACAGGTCAGCTATTTATAAACTACTGCTTGAAAGAACATAATTCAGTTACGACGTTCTATCCTTAACAGATATAAATTTCAATAAAATACATGCAAATTTCAAAATATGCAATTTTCATTGAGAGTTTTGGGGAAAAACAATTAAGTAGTCTACCTGTGTAAAGTATTTCCCATCCTGTTTCAGTACTTTCATTGAGAGGTCAAGAATCAGTCTGAGAAACTCCCATGTGGAATCTGGATGTTAAAAAAAAATTTTAAGTTATATAAAATATAGGTTTGCATTCATCAGAAACAACATCTAAAAAGTCAAATATCCACAACAATACCCAAAAAAGAAAGAAATAGCCAAGAGCTTAAGACCCAATATTCAAGAGCTTACTCATGAAAATTTACTGTCGTTTTTGGGTGTCCTGCACACACGTGCACATAAGCAAGGTCAAAAGCAAATATTCATGTGCTTAGCACTGCTTTAACGATACCAATAAAGATTTGACCAAAAAGGCAGTGGTTGAAATCTGAAAGACAAAAGCTTAAGGGGGAAGCAGCAACATCCCAAGAGAGAAACACCAAGAGTCATCACGTGGGGACTCGGTCTGCCAGCTCAGCAGGAAGGCAAGATTATAGAAAAAAACACTAACACCGAAATGCCACACCAGCAGTTGATTTGGAGCATGTGGTTTGAGAATGGGGAATTATCTCTGGTGTTGCAGAGAAAGCTCACCAGTTTGTCCCAGTACAGGTTAAAAATCACATAAAAGAAATAAATTCTCAAACAAGCTAATTTCTCAATGATGTAATTGTGAGTCATTTTATTTAATGTTTCTCTCCAAAAACTGAGTAAATTTGCTCATTCAGTGACTGAAATCCAGCCATCTTTTCCACTGTGGGCCTCAGCTGACCGACCTTGAAAAAATTAAGGAACCAATTAAGGAGACAAGCTCTAAGATCCTTCCATTCTCACAATGCGCCAAGTAAAACATTTTCATGAACATTATCTTGGTTATATAAGAAAAAACAGAACCTACCTTCTTCTGGAGATGTGGAGATTGGAACGGCTGTCAAATCATTAATCACATAATCAAACTCTCTCCCTTCTTTGGCGTACCTCTTCAGTACTGGAATACAGTCTTCTATTAGAACCTTCCCAAGAGAAGAGGAATAGATGCACGTGAGCTGACGCATGTGGGTGGAAATATTTAAAGCCTCATAGAGGAGGGAGGAAAATGCAAACTGCTGCTGGGATCCAAACAAAAATGACTTCCATCCATGCCTCTTAACAGCTACAATTCAGTGCCTGCTAGAGGCTTTGTCTGCCTTCTCATTTAATCTAAGCAACAAATCTACAGGTACTATCAGTATCCAGTGTACAAATGGAAAAACCAAGCTGAGAGGTTACGAAGGGGCGCCTGGGTGGCTCAGTCGGTTGAGAGTCTGACTTGATTTCGGCTCAGGTAATGATCTCAGGGTTGTGGGATCAAGCCTCACCTCGGCCTCCGTGCTGAGAGGCATGAAACCTGCTTAAGAGTCTCTCTCTTCCCTCTACCCCTCCACCCCTCCCCCTCTCTTAAAAAAAAAAAGAGAGAGAGATTATGTAGTGTTTTCTTTGGCTGCACACCTGCTAAAACTGGAATGATACAGGGAAGATGAGCATGGCCTCTGCACAAGGATGAAACACAAATTCCTGAAGCATTCCATACTTTTGAGAGACAGAGTGAGGGAGGGAGAAAGGGAGGGAAAGGGGGGAGGGGTTATGTAGCTTGCCCAAAGGCACCCAATAAGAAACAAAGCCAAGAAGTACGCCTAGATCTATATGAAGGCCAAGTTCACACTTTTAACTCTAATCTGTATTGCCTCTCCTACTACTGTCTCTATTTTCCTCTACTTTTAGTTTTTCTTTTATGCTAGGCACTGAATGACTTCATTGTCTATTGATTTTTTGCATCTCACCTCAAACTATTAACCTACAGTTTTTCATTTTTTTAACCACTTTGAGTACTGTTGGTAATACAACCGTGTAAGAAATACCAACTCCCACAATCACAATTACTAACGAGTACAGCAGTTAAGAGTTGGAATTCTCGAACAGATCCTGTGCAGTAAACACATTTATCCTTGAACAACATGGGTTTGAACTGTCTGGGTCCACTTATTCGCAGTTGTTTTTTTTTTTTTTCTCCTAATACAGTACAACATTGTAAAAGTATTTTCTCTTCCTTATGATTTTCTTAATCACGTTTTCTTTTCTCTAGCTTACTTTATTGTACGAATACAGTACATAACACATATAAAATACAAAATGTGTTAATTTGACTATGTTCTTGGTAACACCTCCAGTCAACACTATGTTACTAGTTAAGTTTTGGGGGAGTCAAAAGTTATATGCAGGTTTTTGACTATGTGGGGGGTCAGCACCCCAAACCCCCATGTTGTTCAAGGGTCAACTGTATAGGAACTCAGTTTGGGGCTTGCCTTAATCTTTGAAGTACTGAAGCTACATGCTGGGGACCCATCTGGCTGTAGGCAACGAACTAGCAGGAGTTACTCTCGTCTTTTACTTTTCTAGTTACAAAATACACTCATGAAAAACAAATTCATAGAAGTCAGAAGTTTGTCAAAATTCCCTAAAATAACCTATTCTAGAATTTTTCCTCTGAATGTTCTTACACAGATCCTCACTCACAATTTTAAGAACCTGATCTTACAGCCCTACTGTTTTAGAACCTGCTTCACTTAATGCATCATCTAAGTACAACCACAAAACGATCTAGAAGACACTAATCAATCCTGTGGGATATGCTCAGTGTTCTCCTATGCTCATATACTCTTACCAACACACATTCTCACATAAACACATATGCTATTCTTTTTTAGAACTAGGATCACACACATTCTGAACTGAAAAATTTTCATCTAACATCGTTCTAGGTAAGGATAGATTTTTTTTGAAGGGTAATGGTATTTTTTTTAATTATATCATTCCATAAAAAATGTACTACTCTTTAGCCTCCTCGTAGGCCAGACATTCAAACACTGGGTTGCTGAGACCAAAGGCATGTCCATTTTAGTTTTTATAGTTTAGATGGCAATTCACACTCCCAACTAGCAATGCATGCAAGCACCTGTTGCCTGGATATTGTCCCTCTTTCTATTTTGTCAGGTCCCTTGCTAATGTTTTCACACGAACTTGCTGGGCCACTAACAGGGGTGAGCATCTTGTTATAAGTTTATAGGATATTTGATTTTTGTCTTCTGAGAAATACCAGTTCATGTCCTTTATTATTTTTCTATATAGTTATCTTATTTTTTAAATCTTAAATTGTAGGGGCTCTCTGTATTATTAAAGGGATTAAATCCCTGTCGTGTTTGTTACCAGTTTTTCAGCTTCGTTTATGGGATTAGGTTGTTGTTGTAGTTTCTGGGTTTCTTGTCTTTAAAAGATTTTCCAACTCCAAGGTTAAATATGTTAAATTTACCTAAATGTATTAGTTTTTGTATCCAGAGCTTAAGCCATCTGAGATTAATTTTTCTATGGCTTCTAGGGTCATGTTAACTTTGTTCTCATGGAGATGGACAGCCCATTGTGTTGGCATCACCTATGAAATCAACTCAATCTCCTTTTCCCAAGCAAACTGAAATATACCTTAGGCCATCTATTACTTGTACGAATACACACTCAGACATGTTCAAAATCTCTGTGCCATTCCTCTTATATGTGCATTCCTGTGTCAACATCACACTCCCTATTTGATTACTATGCTTTAACAGTAAATTACTAAACAATAGGGCAAATTTCCCTGCACTATGATTTTTTAAAAAAAATTTTTCTTGGAGGGGCACCTGGGTGGCTCAGTCGATTAAGTGTCTGCCTTTGGCTCAGGTCATGATCCCAGAGTTCCAGGATTGGAGTCCCAGGATCCAGCCCCACATCAGGCTGCCCATTCAGCAGGGAGTCTGCTTCTCCCTCTGACCCTCCCGTCTCGTGCTCTCTCTCTCACCCTCTCAAATCAATAAAATCTTTTTTTTTAAGATTTTATTTGTCAGAAAGAGAGAGAGCACAAGCAGGGGGAGTGGCAGGCAGAGGGAGAAGCAGGCTCCCCCACTGAGCAGGGGGCCCGATGCAGGGCTCAATCCCAGGACCCCGGGATCATGACCTGAGATTAAGGCAGGTGTTTAACCGACTGAGCCACCCAGGTGTCCCAATAAATAAAATATTTAAAAAATTTTTTTTCTTGGCTATTCTTAAGTATTTATTGTTACAAATGAAACTGAAAATCATTTGATCTAATTCTAAAAACCTCCTTGGGATTCTGACTGGAATTACTTGTAATTAGGAAGTTATAGACATTGTTCTGGTATTCTCATCCTAGAAATGTAACATGTCTCTCCATATATTCCAACTATAGTTGTGGTCTTTCAGTAAGATCTCGACATAATTCTTGTAAGATCTTGACATAATTCTTATCAGTCCCACAATACCATTCTTATTTAAATATATTCCTAGGTATTTAACAATCGGTCATTTTATTCCTAAATGTGAAGCCTGAAAGTACAAAAATCCTAGAAGAGAACACAGGCAGTAACATCTCTGACATCAGTCATAGCAACATTTTTCTGGATATGTCTCCCGAGGCAAGGGAAATAAAAAGCAAAAATAAACTACTGGGACTACATCAAAATAAAAAGCTTCTGTACAGCAAAGGAAACAATCAACAAAACTAAAAGACAACCTACGGAATGGGAAAAGATATATTTGCAAATGACATATCTGATAAAGGGTTAGTATCCAAAATATATAAACGTCTTACACAATACCCAAAATACAAATAATCCAACTTAAAAATGGGCAGAAGACATGAACAGACATTTTTCCAAAGACGACATCCAGACGGCCAACAGAGATAGCCAAGAGACACATGGAAAGATGCTCAACATCACTCATCATCAGGGATATGCAAATCAAAGCTACAATGAGGTATCACCTCACACCTGTAAGAATGGCTAAAATCAACAGAAGAAACAACAGATGTTGGCAAGGATGCAGAGAAAGGGGAACCCTCTTACGCTATTGGTGGGAATGCAAACAGCGGCAGCCACTATGGAAAACAGTATGGAAGTTCCTCAAAAAGTTAAAAATAGAACTACCCTATGACCCAGCAATTGCGCTACCGGGTATTTACCCAAAGAATACAAGAACATTACTAATTCAAAGGGATACGTGCACCCCAATGTTTATGGCAGCATTACTTACAATAGCCAAGATATGGAAGCAGCCCAAGTGTCCATCAACTGATGAATGGATAAAGAAGTGGCGTTTATGTGTGCGTGCGTGCACACACACACACCGGAATATTATTTAGCCATTAAAAAAGAATGAAATCTTGCCATTTGTAACGACGTGGATGGAGCTAGAGAGTATTATGCTAAGTGAAATAAGTCAGTGAGAGAAAGACAAATACCGTAAGATTTCACTCATACTTGAACAATCAGATGGTTGTCAGAGGGGAGGTGGGGTGAGGGGATGGGTGAAATAGGTGATGGGGATTAAGAGTGCACTTATTGTGATGAGCACTGAGTAATGTAGAGAATCGTTGAATCACTGTATTGGACATCTGAAACTAATATAATACTCTGGTTAACTACACTGGAATTAAAATTAATAACTTAAAAAAACAACTGGTCATTATTCTTGGTCATTCTTCTGAATAGGATCTCTAGCCCACTCTCTACCTCCAATTTCCATTCAAACTGTTTTGCATTTAGCATAGCTTAAAAAACATTTTTTTAGACTTTCTCTATCCAATCACTTCACCAAATTCTCATGAACTCAACTAATTTTCTAGGCGAGTTTCCTAGATTTTCTAAGCATTCATATCATCTGCAAATAATGATTCTATGTTTATACTGTTTTCATTTTCCTACCTTACTGTATTAGCTAATGCCTCAAAAACAATATTGAATAAAGTTAACAAGCATCTTCGACCTTATTTCCAGTTTTACTGGAAATGCCTTAATGTATTTTGCCTTTTTATATAACATTAAGTTTCTGACAGTTTGTTACGTTTGGGTAGTTTCCCTTCTATTGCAATTTTATCTTACTTAAAAGACTTTTTATTAAGAATGACTGCTAAATATCCCCCAAATGCTTTGTCATCTGTTAGTACATTATTTTCTCTTTTAAATAATTCATATAATAAATCATGTTGACAGACTTCTTTAAGATTCCCATCTTTATGTTTCTGAACTAAATCTTTCTTGGGTCTAATAGAGTTCTTTAAATAAACTGCTAGATTTAATTTACTCTTTACTTGAAAATCTTGTATACTCATCAAAACCAATCTTTAGTTTTCTTTTTGTACTACCTTAAGGATTTTAGTATTAAAGTTACTCAATCATTATAAAAGGAATGGGGAGCACTTTGGAACATTTTCTACTTTTCTAAACATGGTTAACAGAGTAACTATGTGTTTTTGAAATAAACATTTGCAAAGACCTGGTGTTTTTTTAATGGTAGTATTTTAATGGCTAAGGGGCTTGCCTGTGAATACCCCCAGACGAGGAACCCCCCACCCCTTGAGAGCACTCAGAAAACCCTCAACCTCAGAAGAATTTTCCAGGCTCCCCCAATGGTTGTTCTAATCCAGCAAGAAGACGGAAGGGGTGGGCGGATGTATTCAGACACCCAACTTCCTCAAAAGCAGAGCCATTTCAAATAAAATACTACTTTTCCATTCCCTAGACTGTCCCACTGTCAATGTCACCACCTGCCTTTGGTGCTCTGCTTTCAGACAGACGTGCAAGAGTTTTTTCCAAAGCCATTAGTAAATCGTCCCACGTACATCCAGCCTCTAATTACAACAATCTACAACTCCACCGTACTGCAGGTTTGGGTTTGCGGTTCTGCTTATGCTTCAATTGTTTTTCTGAATCCATATAAGGAAGTTACAGAAGGAGCCGGGGAGCCGGGTATCGGAGTGAAATCACTCTTCTGAAGTTACCCTATAACCTTGAATAAATGTCCTTCGAACTCTCTAAGTTGAATCTTCTTCAACCAAAAAAGAGAAATAATAGCTGCTTGGTGCAGGGTTGAGGATTACAGGTTAAAACACCTTAGGCAGAGAGTCTGGCTAACAATGCAAACATTATTTGACAACAATGGTAACTTTTAGCTCCATGAAACAAATGAGTGAAACAAACCTGTCATGCTCTGATGAACCTAACTCCCCTTCCCCGCGTCCCTTATTAAAACTCTCAAACAGTACATGTGAAATACATATATCCTTCTTTCTCTTTTGCCCACAAAACAATCACACCTACATGTCAATATAGACAGAATTCTCTTTCAGCTTAAAAAATTAACATGCATGCACCATGAAATCAAATTTGGATGCAAACACATTAGGGAAGATGGGGTAGGGATAAGCAATTTATAGATCAACAAATGAAAGCACTCGTCTAAATTGTTTATAAATCTAGAGTAATACTTTTTTTTTTGAAGACACACATTTAAGATTCTGTTCAAATAAAATGTATTTGCTTGGTTATCTTGTTCTAACAAGTATTGTAGATGTAAGCACTGAACACGTGCATGTTTAAAATACAACACAAAACATCCAACAAACTGTAATGATTGGTCAACTTGGAAGTACAGTACAATTTAGGACAGAAACGAATTTGCTTAGCAAGAAGCAACTGTTGAGATGTACACGTAACTCACACAGAGTCTGAAGAGTAGCAGAAGATGCCACCTCAAAGTATGCCACTTTGGTGTATTATTTTGAGCTGTATAGGCACTTGAAAAACAGCAAATGCAGAAGGCAGCTTTCTCCGAACTCCCCTTCAACCTACCTAAGATAGATCCTCTGAAAGAAACTCAATTGTCCGAGATCCCCTCCCTAGTGGGTTCAACCAGGGACAGATGACCTCTATCACAAGACAGGAAATGGATACCACATCCAGACAAACTTAGTCACAAGTATCATACCTACCCCATCTATTCTTCCAAGGGCCCATTATCTTTCCTTAAAAGTCACTCACTCTCCCCAAGACACCTATGATGCCTTTCCCTATTAAGTTGGTATTTAAGCCTAAATTTTAAAGCTACCTCTGAGTTACTCACTGATCTCTGGGTCTCTCCCAAGTACACATGAGGTATATATGTTACTCGACTTCTGTATTTCTCTTGTTAATCTGTCTTTTATTACAGGAGTCTTAGCCAAGAACTAGAAGGGCAGAGGGTAAGGGTGCTGATAATACTGAGTCCATCTTTGGCCCTCTTATCTTATTCATGTTTGCTCAATGACCTCTCTTGGGACTACGTGTTCTGGCACCTTAGAGATTAATATACGTACGTCAAAAATGCCTGCCAAGAAAGGCTGGCATTTTGGTTTCCCATGAATCTGTTAGAGATAACGGTCTTTCCCCATCCTCATACACAGGTCGTGCCATAAAAGCTAATGAAAGGTTAGCTTGATTAAAGGTCAATTAGTGCACGCATACCCTCTGAGGTACATGGGAATGGTATGATCTCACTCCAGTGCCCTTCCTGCATGTCCTCTCCCTCTATAAAATCCGTGGACTACAGTCTGGACTTTGCAGAGAGTAACTACGCAGCTGCCACGGACCATCCTCTGCCCAATCCCACCTGTCAGTTAGGTGTCCCTGAGTAAAACTCGGTGTAAACTCTATGGAGTGGCCCTTTGCTTTCTGGTCACCAAGTGCCTTCTCAGTTTGGGGGGATACTTTACTGTCCCTCCTCCACCTTCTAACAGTAGAGGGAAAAATTATCCTTCCCTCCAAGATGATCTATTTATCTTCTTAACCAACTACCCTTAGAGCTGTTTTAGGAAAGTACAATTCAAGTCAATAACATATTATTAGTTGACTTCAAAATGTTATCTAGAAAACATAATTACCTGATAGCAGTCTCCTTTAAGATTGTCTAAGACGTTGCCACATGTTTTTCGCATGTATTTCTTACATCCATCAATCACCATTTGGTCAATGTTCAAACAGGTCAAGGAGAAATTGATCCTGAATTTGATCTATCAAAGAATTCTGAAATAGTAATACTTTAAAGAAAAGGTAGGGGCACCTGGGTGGTTCAGTCGGTGAAGCGTCTGACTCTTGATTTCAGTTCAGGTCATGATCTCAGGGTTGTGAGATGGGATCCCAGCATCCAGCTCTGTGTGGAGTCTGTCTGAAATTCCCTATCCCTCTGTCCCTCCCCGTGCTCTCTTTCTCAAATAAATAAATAAATAAAATCTTAATAAAGTAAAATAAAATCTTAAAAAAAAATAAAGGTAAGACAAACATGAATTTTATAACACAAACTTGGGTATCAGATTTACCAAAAAAAAAAAAAAAAAAAGATGAATGAGACAATGATTTCATTGTTGTACCAAGGTCACTCAAAAAAAGAACTGAATTTTCCCTTTTCATGAAGAAGCCCTTTCACAAAGTGCTAAGCAGTAGACACAGTACCAAGGTTGCTTTCTCGTTTTCTCAACTAGAGGATCTCTGCTGCTTTGTTTGTAGCCACATGAAAAGGCTATTGGTCCTAAATGGAAATGTTTGTTCAAGGCAGTATTTAAAAGGCATTTGCCTCATAACATTAGCTGGAGTCTTAAGACAAAAAAAGAGGAACAAAACAGAAGCCAATTGAACTTGATCTCCAAACAAAGGATATCTCTACCATAGTGACCATCTTTGGTTTCAGTTTGACTATTTCACATAATATGCCCCCATCTCCACCCCCAAGAATCAGCACGTCTTTGCCACTGTAGTCTTCTTTTCCACTGCCCATGATGGCCTGGGTATACGCCAAATCACTCTCTGCCAGATCTAGGGAGGAAAAACACAGGTACAAAATGGTGATTCTACCCAAACCCACACAGAGACCTGACTTGCCATGCTAGAAAGTGCTGGAATCTAGTCTAAAATTCAAATTTTTTTCATTTTTGATCTTTAAAAACTATCAACAACGTGCAGAGGTACTTTTTTTTTCATCAACCCTACTCATCTGACACCTAATATATTACATACACATATACCATGGTCAGTGGAAAAAAAAAATTCAGTCTTAAGAATGTTCTAATATGCTAATTAAAAGCAATCATATCTTTTATTACATGAAATACGGCATCTGAGAGTTGTTCCAAGTAATAGGAGAGAGACAAAGTAAACCAGGATTTAGGGGAAACAAGATTGGCCAGGAGTTTCTAATTGTTAGCACTCAATGGTGAGTATACATGGGTTCATCATACTATTTTGTCTACTCAGTTTTGAAATTTTCCGAAACAAAAAAATTTCTTAAAAAATAAGGAATCATATTTTCTTTATATGAGTATAATCCAAATACTCAACACTAAGAATACTAAGAAAAAGGAACATCAAGACAATGTTTTCATGGCTCTGCTATAAAACATGAAAGCCTAAGGGCGCCTGGGTAGCTCAGTTGGTTAAGTGTCTGGCTCTTGGTTTCAGCTCAGGTCATGATCCCAGGGTCATGGGTTGGATGGAACCCCGGGTCCTGGTCGGGCTCTGTCCTGAATGGTGTCTGCTTCCGCTCTCCCTCTGCCCCTCCCCCCGCTCACACATTCTCTCTAAAATAAATAAAATAAAATCTTTAAAATAAAAAATAAAAATAAAACAGGAAAGCCCAGACAATCCACAGGTTAATATGACATAAATATTCCTTTCAAAAAAATAGCACTGCCAAGGACAAACTAGGACAAATCCACAATGGTGCTATTTGTCAGAAAAGCACCATTATCTAAAACACTGTCACTCTGCTTTGCAACTGGGGTAGGGATGGAATACTTACTAACATCCCCACTAAGGATGAGAATATTTCCAAATTGCTTTGAGTGTAGAATTTTAATGTTCTGATAAGGTGAATCTTCATCATACACCACTTCATCTATGTCATACTCAACCAGGCGACCATCAGCAGTGGGCCAGTATCTGTCGATAGCTCCTCCTCGAATTATGGGTGGTAATCTGGAAAAAGGGAAAACAAGAATGAGCCTTTACAGGAACACTGCTTATGGTGCCGCTGCCTTAAAAGTGAACCTGCAGGGGCGCCTGGGTGGCTCAGTCGTTAAGCGTCTGCCTTCGGCTCAGGTCATGATCCCAGGTTCCTGGGATCGAGCCCCCACATCGGGCTCTCTGCTCGGCGGGAAGCCTGCTTCTCCCTCTCCCACTCCCCCTGCTTGCGTTCCCTCTCTTGCTGTGTGTCTCTCTCTCGAATAAATAAATAAAATCTTAAAAAAAAAAAAAAGTGAACCTGGAGGGACGCCTGGTTGACTTAGTCAGCAGACGATGCCACTACTGATCTTGGGGTCATGAGTTCGAGCCCCACATTGGGTGTACTGATTACTAAAAAAAAAAAAGTGAACCCGGAAGTGTGAGTGTACAAAAGCAAGCGACGTGCCCCTCAGCCAATTCCAGAATAGTATACAAATCTAAAGCTTGGTCTTTCAGCTTTATATACAAATATGGCCACTACCAAATCTCAGCAACTGTTGTACATTTAGAGGTTACTTTTTTAATAAACCTTTCTGGCATGCCTTCAATTTTTCCTAAAAAAACGTTGGAGAAGGGGCGCCTGAGTGGCTCAGTGGGTTAAGCGTCTGCCTTTGGCTCAGGTCATGATCCCAGGGTCCTGGGATGGAGCCCTGCATCGGGCTCCCTGCTCGGCGGGAAGTCTGCTTCTCGCTCTCCCATTCCTGCTCCCCCTGCTTGTGTTCCCTCTCTTGCTATGTCTCTGTCAAAAAAATAAATAAAATCGTTTAAAAAAAAAAAAAAGTTGGAGAAAATGGCCACCTCAGACATCACACTCACCCCAAATACTTCAACAGGAATCTCTTAAGACCGCCTACCCCACCACACTTCCACACCACGTTCATGCAAGTGCACGGGGGTGTAATACCATCATCTGGTACACAATCCACATTCAAATGCCCCCAAGACCGTCCCAATCATGTCATGTACAGCTGTTCTGCTTTTGAATGAAGGATCATATGCTGTATTTTCTTTTCCTTTTTTACCCTCATTTCGTCTATTTTAGTTTTTTTTTTTTTTTAAAGATTTTATTTATTTATTTGACAGAGAGAGAGAGGGAACACAAGCAGGGAGAACAGCAGAGGGAGAGGGAGAAGCAGGCCTCCCGCAGAGCAAGGAGCCCGATGCGGGGCTCGATCTCAGGACCCTGGGATCATGACCTGAGCCAAAGGCAGACGCTTAACTGACTGAGCCACCCAGGCGCCCCTTTAGTTAAGTTTTTCTACCCAATGTGTTTCATAACATCTCAGGGAAATGTAGACCAGGTGTTCTGCAGAAAATCCCTAAGGTGCCTAAAGACCTCTTTCTTCATTAAAGTCAGGGTGGTAGATATTTACAGAAGCATCACATCAGGGGCAAAAGATGTGTGCTTGTCCTATTATTAGAGATGCTAAGTGTGACCAGTTGGTTCAAGTGAATGGCACCAGATCCCTCCATTTACAAAGGTACCTTTTTTCCCTTTGAAATTACTAAGCAGGCTGTGGGGTAGCCCTCTCAAACTGGGTGAAGCCCCTGAGCTCTCAACAAACCTCCAGTAGTGGTTTTGGCATCTAGAAGATTCTTGCCTGTATCAATTATTATTACTAGAAGGACTGCAAACTGAGGATTTTCCCATTCCATTCTTTTGCAAATGCTCAGTATTTCAGAAAACGTGAATGTACTAGAAACTACCAGCAGAGGACACTAAACGACAATGAAAACCAGAGCCAGAAAAGGGGCTTGGCAAATCTAACAGCAACACAAAGTGAGAACTCGCTGCATACCAACACAACTGTGTGCAAGTCATGTGTTCTCAAACACAGTGGTATTCAACAGTAAAACAGCTGGATGATGGGGTATGCTACCTCTTGACTTGCTCTGGTGAGTCTCTGCCCTCCCACTCACCTGTTACCAGGAATACAGTCTGAACCTCTTTTAATGAAGCTTCCTCTGAGCAAACACTAACAACCATAAAGAACACTAAGATTGGGGCGCCTGGATGGCTTAGTCGGTTAAGCATCCGACTTTTGATTTCAGCTCAGGACATGATCTCAGGGTCGTGGGATCTAGCCCTGCATCGGGCTCCGTGCTGGGTGTGCAGTCTGCTGGACATTCTCTCTCTCCTCTGCCTTTGCCCCTCCCCCTGCTTGCACGCGCTCTCTGTCCCTCAATAAATAAATAAAATCTATATATAAAAAAAAGAACACTGAGATTTACAAAGCAAATTCCCATGAACTCTCATTTAATCCTAGCAACTCCTGATTTAACCACTTCTTGCACCGTTCAAGTGAACAAATGCAGCTGCTGGAATGTCTGCAGACCAGGTTTGTCTTGTAAAATGTGCAGCCCCAAACAAGACAATACCAGCCCCCCCCACCCCCCACCCCCCCGTCCCCTGCCCGGCCCGCCTGGCCCAGAGCAGGCAAACAGGACTTGGGGGAAGCCTCTTCCACCCTTGGCTGATGGTTGGTGGGTAGACGGAGGTGGGAGAGTAAACCACCTGTGACATTAGATGAAGGTGACAAATATCAAGTCATGGGTTTTCAGGAGAGGAAACCCACCCCCCGGTTGACAGCCAGCCAGCTATACGAAATTACTGAACTGCACAAACCCGATGAAAATAAATGTCTATTCTCAAGTGTGTCACTAAGTGCCTTGGCTAAAGTAAAGAGCTCTTTCTTCAATTGCAACACAATGGTTCTCATTTTTTTTTTATTTTTTTTAAAGATTTAAGTAATCTCTACACCCAAAATGGGGCTCAAACTCACGACCCGGAGATCAAGAGTCGCACGCTCCACTGACTTGAGGCAGCCAGGCACCCCGAAACACAATGGTTTTTAAAGACTGGCAAAGAAACAACAAGGATCTCTAACAGGATGAGGAAGCCATTTATCTTGATGAAATACTCATCCTAGCATGAAGTGCATCTCCTTGTAATGGGCTACAGGAGATATTCTGGAGCCCAGCACAACTCTTCTTTCAACTTTCACTGCTGAAAATTGAAAATGGATCGTAGAGAGAAAGTCAGACAGAGTATGTCCTGGGTCTCCGGTACACTGGGTCTACTGCAATATCTCCCTCACCCCTAACCCCCAACAAAACTTAACGGATGTAAGCTTGTTTTCCTGTTCCTTTTCTTTGGAAAGGTAGAATATAAAAATAAATTATCTAATACATCCCATGGCTTCTTAGTTAAAAATTCAGATTTAACTCACTGGCCACAGGGGAATGATTTCAGATAATGTTATGAGTTACTTGTTAATGACTAAATTTCTAACCATGTCATCACCAAACAGAAAAATGGCACCATCCTTCTCCTTTTGAGGCCAATTAAAAAAGCCTGCCACCAAGTACTCCCAATAACTTCTGGACCCCTCTACCCTGATTTTACGAAAAGTTCTAAGAGCAGTAACGAGCAAAAGCAAGGTCTGTATTTTGAACTGAAAATACAAAGCTTAACTCCACTCTCACTTAGCTCCTATATCCAAAACAAAGACTTCTCATGAGTGCCGAAACCCATAAATGTATTCCATCTATTCCCTTAGTCCTACAAGTAACCCTAGTAAAAGTGAGACCAATAAAACTCAGAGGCATTTCGATGTTGGCCAATTCATTATCACGGAGTTAACACATTTTAGAACAGAGTGGGAACCCGCTGAATTCAGGTTGGTGCAGATAGGTCTGCAGCAGTCGAAGGAATGCTGAAAACCTCTGCAAGCAGGGAAAGGTGGAAAGTCCAGAAAAGTGTGTGGGTGTGGACATGCTTTTAAGGACTGGGAAGAGGGAAATATGGCTGAGGAGATGTACACTGAACTTAGGTGGGGTAAACAAATCTAGGTGCTCTGACAGATTTCAACCACGTGGGCAAGTTGTACACGGTTATGTTCATTTACCAGCAGTTCCCTGCTTTCTACCCTACCAGAGATTAACCAACCTTCTAGTTAACCTTACACCAGCCCTGGAGCTTTCCTATGGGCTGATGAAATTTAGCATGCTGAGCTAGTAAGTCCCTCACATCCTAGGTCTTGCCAAAATGAATGCACGCTTCTACAAAGTGCTGTCAACTAGAGACATCTGTATTCTGGTCGCTTCCATCAGTGATGGCGTGACCTTGATAAAGTCCCTCTAGGTCTCTCTGTGTTTGCTGTTGTAAGGGACAGGCCTCCTACTTTTGGGGGCCTGATAAGGATCCACCCAGACAGGACAGGAGCAAACTGGTGAGAATTACCTGTTGGGCATCCATGATTAACTCCTATTCTTAATTCCCAGGACCCACACAAGACTCTATCCATTCCAACAAATGTCAAAGCTGTTACATCTATCAAGGCTCTTTTAACATCTGTTACCATGGACAAACACTGCTGCACTGTTCAAAAGAAATGTTCCATATCTGCATGGTACACTGTGATAGTCACTAGCCATTAGCTACTGACAGGAGGCTAGTGAAACTGAGGAATGGAACTATATTTACTGAAGTTTAAATAGCCACAGTCAGGACAGGGGAAGCTTAACTGTCTTTAGTATCATTTGAAAAGAACCAACCGGTGGCTGCTCAAGGTAGGTGGCCTCTCAATTCTTAGTAGCTTGCAAAGTCACCTTACTTGAAAGCTTTGAGGCAAATTTTCTATCACCCCATCTTGTCATAAATCTTAGAAGTGAATTCCACTTTGGAGCCCAGAGCTCTGAGCAGAGACAGCAACCTTTTCACTTTACTGGACCAGGTTGGGGAGTTCTCTCACTCTCTTTTGACTGAGACGGAAGCCCCCCCCCAGCTCTCTGCTTTATACAGTTCCAGCTCCTGAGATTCACTCCATTATCTCCTTTCTACCTTTGTTTCATTTTACACAGCATGCACGCGTGTGTGTGTGTGTGTGTGTTCATACATTTTGTCTTGTTTGGATGTGAGGCATCCATTAGCTCAGTCTACCCATGTTGCCAGAAGCAGACACTGCTCGGACAACACCACCATTCCAATTTTACCAGTTAAACAAATATAAAAGGACATTCGGGAGTGGACTTACCGCTTCACCCGCACAGCACTGTCCTGACTCAATTCTTTCATTCTTTCTTCTACTTTGTTCAAGAGCTACAATTAAAAGAAAAGCTACAATTAAAAGAAGTCAATGGGCTTATAGAATAAGGTGAGTGCAACAGCTAAGTTTCCAGGAGGCTGAGGCCGTGGTGACAGAGCTGTGTGATATTCCTGACCTCCCCCATCCCTTCAGCAGCCTCCAGGCCTGGCCCAGTTCCACACACCCACACCAACCAGCCCTCATGGTGCTACCCTCAGTGCAAGTCACCAGCAAGATAATGGGAAAGGGGAGAACACATGGATAATGCAGATATAACATCCTGCTCAAAGGTTTACATTTCATCATGGAAAGTAAAACTCTCAGTTTTTAAGCAGTCAAGGGAATGAGGACAAGCCAGGTTCCTAACAACAATTGAGAAACCACTATTTTTCTTCTAAAATCACTTATCTGGAGGGAGGAAATTTAAAGTTAACTGGGAGATCAGCAATTACATAAAATAATTTTATCATTAAAAATATGAGATTTTCATATGGTTTCACTTATTTGTGGAACATAAGGAATAACATGGAGGACATTAGGAGAAGGAAGGGGAAAAATGGGCGGGGGGCACTGGAGGGAGAGATGAACCATGAGAGACTATGGACCTGAGAAACAAACACGGTTTTAGAGGGGAGGGGGGAGGGGGGATTGGTTAGCCCGGTGATGGGTATTAAGGAGGGCACGTACTGCATGGAGCACTGGGTGTTATACGAAAACAATGGATCGTGGATCACCACATCAAAAACTAATGATGTATTGTATGGTGACTAACATAACATAATAACATTTTAAAAATAAGTAAGTAAAAATAAAAATATGAGATTTGATGATCCTCAAATACTTGTAATTACAATAAGCAAAACAATAATTAAATAAAAGTAAATAAAAGCGAAAAACCAACACTGTCAACTTCTTGGCCTTGCGAATCACCGTCATAACTCTGAAGATCCAACAACACCAATCCATGTGGGTAAATTCTCAAACTGGCAAAGCTACAAAGGAAAGCATAATTTTAAGGTTAGGAATTGTATCATGGCATTCAAAAGAAGAAAAGACACCAACCCACCCAACTAAAAGCAAAGATCATTGCTCCTTTTTTCTTAAGTTACATGGTTAACCCTTTTGCTTTCTTATGAGAACCTCTTCTTGGGGGTGGGAAGCCCACCAATCATTTAGGGAAGATTTAGACAGTCACCAGATGCTAACGTTTTCAGATAACGGGTTCTTGGGCCCAGAAAGTGATTCAGTAGCAGTTCTGTGAACCGGATTTTTTTTTTTTTTTTTTTTTAAGTAAACTCCACCCAACTCACGACCCCGAAATCAAGAGTCGCATACTCTACCAACTGAGCCAGCCAGGTGCCCCTGTGAACCTGATTTTTTAAGAAGGTTCCCTGGCACATGATTCGGCCAAGTTTAGTGACCATGGCCCTCAAATGAAGGGAGGGTAGGAAGGACAAACTGGGTCCTCCCAATTAACCTTCAGAGTTCAAAACAGAGCCGCGGTTTTCCGACTGCAAGCGGGTGGTGGTTAAACTGATTTAGTTCGGGGTTGGCACACTCCAGCCTACACACTGCAAACCACCAGATCCACCCTTTAAGACTTTTTTTTGTAGAGCCTGCAGACTAAGAATGGTTTTTACATTTTTAAGGAGTTGTTTAAAAAAAAAGGAGAGAGAGAATGTGACAGAGACTCTATGTGGCTCCTTACGGAACAAGCTTTCTGACCCCTAATTTAGGGGATCTGCTCATTTTTCTTAAAATATCAGAGTGTATCACATGCAATAAAAGTCAATTATGTAGGGCGCCTGGGTGGCTCAGTTGGTTAAGCGACTGCCTTCGGCTCAGGTCATGATCCTGGAGTCCCGGGATCAAGTCCCGCATCGGGCTCCCTGCTCGGCAGGGAGTCTGCTTCTCCCTCTGACCCTCCTCCCTTCTCATGCTCTCTCTCATTCTCTCTGTCTCAAATAAATAAATAAAATCTTAAAAAAAAAAAAAAAAGGCAATTATGTGGAGAAATTTCTGTTTTGATCATACGTGTATCTGTACTGTATAGACACAGATGACTATGTATGGGGTTATGACATAGAACTACTTCTTGGGGCACCTGGGTGGCTCAGTTGTTAAGTGTCTGCCTTCGGCTCAGGTCATGATCCCAGGGTCCTGGGATCGAGCCCCGCATCGGGCTCTCTGCTCAGCGGAAAGCCTGCTTCTCCCTCTCCCACTCCCCCTGCTTGTGTTCCTGCCCTTGCTATCTCTCTGTCAAATAAATAAATAAAATCTTTAAAAAAATAAATAAAATAAAAAATAAAACTACTATTTACTAAAAGTCGTGGTTAAAGAAACATTGGATTAAAAACTAAACACTACTAGTTAATTTCACCTTCAGCCTTTAAATGGCCCCCAAATCAAGTTCAGGTCCAGGAAACCACAAATCATTTACACCTGAATGCGCCTATCATTTTTTCCCCCTCCACCACCCACAGCACAAAGGAGAGGGGCTGGAGAAGGGAAAGGGTAGAAAAACATCACCCCTAACCAGCTGGGTGGTTCTAGTGCAGTCCTCTGCCAATGGAACTGCAGGAACACAGGAGCACAGACAATGCTGGAAGTTAGTACAAAAAGCTCAAGGGATTAAAACCAGGCTGAGGACCAGGACTTCAGCATCACTAAGTGGCTATTAACCAGAAGTCAGGCCAGAAGCTGGGTATGGTCCCCCTGAGCTGGTGCCTGGTCGCCCAGGCATGGGTGGGAGTAGTGAGGTTTCAGGACAGGCACCATGGGGATGGGTCCCAGTAGAGCACGTGAGAGAAGAGGGAGACCAATGTTGAAAATACGTTTTTAAACTAAGCATGTCAATTTTCATTTTTTCTGCTTTCAGAAGCAATTTCTAAACAGCTCTTGCTATTCAAAATTCCCTTCTGGGAAGAATTCTAGGCCCCCCAGACAACTGGAAATGGTGTGTATGGTAGAAGATTCAAGAAGTGAGGCAGAGAAGTGCCTGGATGCAAAGGCAGTGAGGAGATTCTAAGAGAATCAAGGCTTCAAAGAACTTACGGGGTGGCAAGGCGACATGGTTCCATTTGCTGTGGTCCCCAAAGGATGGACCACATCCAGGATAGCAAGAGACCATGGCAGGGAAGGTGGAGAAAAGAGGCTAGGACAGAGAGAGGCTGAACCCAAGCCTGCAGGAGCTGAAAGGATCAAGGACAGCTGCAAATCTCTACTTGCAGGAAACGGGCTATTAACTGGGCCAGGGCACGGAGGAGGGAAGGTAGGAGAGTTTGGTAGTGGTGTTGATTTGGGATCAGCCTTGAGAAGAAATGATTTTAGATACATCTGAGGTATCTGCTAAACACTTATGTGGAGATTTGCTACATAGTTAGAAATACAAATCTGGGCTTAGGGAGAGAGGAGCTGGGAAGTCCCTGAGAGGCATCAAGAGAGGGAAGACCAGTAACCCCCATGGGGTGGAGCATGTTGACTTAGAAAGAGAGTAACGGAAGGGGGCACTCAGAAGTCAAAGTTTCCTGATCTCCCAGCATTGCCTTCTGGGCCTCTGAGGTCGTGGGGGTGGTTATTTTTCCTTTTAAGAGAGAAACAAGGGACAGAATGTGGGACATTAATGAAACCATGTGGAATTCTAGTACTTTGTACCCATTGGGTGAAATGGAATTAAAGCCATTGAAAACACCCAGGAGTTCACATTTTAAAATTAATAGTGCAAATTACGAAGACTCTTACTAGTTTTGCATACTAAACCAGTCTAGATAGGATACAAACCTAGACTTAGGAAAGCACAAAGAGCTCAACATGCCGGGGTCTTCTGTTCTCCATCAGTTCTTAATTTAGGTTTCCTTCCCTATTCCCAGCACATATTGGCTCTCATCTACATATTGATTAGGTAAAGTCTGGATAGTCTATAAAGGTCTTAAGGAAAAGAAAAAAAACCCCAACTTGAAATCTTGGGTCCCCTCAGCTTCCTGTCAACCTCCCCGTAGACATTCTCATTCCTCATTTGATGACGGTCTGCATTAACTGCTAGTAACTTCTAACAGTGCTACTCACAGTGGGGTCAGCCGACCAACAGCATCGGTGTCCCCTGGGAGCTTGCTGAAAATGGGATTTCCGGTGCTACCCCAGAGCGGCTACATCAGAAACTCTTGGAGCAGGGCCCGGGAATCTGCTTTAACCACGTCTGAATCGTGGCCTGCAGTTCACACTGCTTCTGCTTCCAAGGGGTTCTGGGTCCTGGCCACACAGCAGAATCACCCGGCCGGGGGGGGGACTTCGGAAAAATACTGATGCCCACTGGCCTCAATCTCTGGGAAAGTGACTGGGGTCATGGCGTCTTGTGAAAGCACTCCCGGGCGATTCTACTGGGCAGCTAGGGCTGTGAGCACTGAATTCTAGCCCCCCTAACAAGATGTCACAGGAGGAAATAAAAAATACCTGGACGCTACCCCTCCCCACTTTGTCATCCGCCCCCAACCTCCACCAGCTGAAGTGCTCAGATCTGAAGGCCAGCTCACCTGCCGTTTTTGTTGATGTAGGTCGCTAGGTAACCGCGGTCTTGCCAGTTGTGCACCGACTCTGTCATCCCTTGCTCCTGGAAAATGGACCGCAGGCCTTTTAGAATGGTCTCGCCATCAGCTGGAGAACAAGGGAGAGAAGGCAAGGTGGTCAGGATGAAACACATTCCAAAGGAAAGCCGGCGAGGCACAGTTTGACGACTGAACTTCGTAAGAAAACCTGAACGAAGATTTGCCAGCGTCACGCCCGTTGTCAGGAGCTACGAAGGTTCTCAACCCCATGAGGAGAGGCTACACGGATCACCAGGTAACACAAGACAGACACAAAAACACCAACCACAAAGTCATTGCACCAAGGATGCAGACAGGTCTTCAGCCAACCAGAGAGGACACAACACAATGTTGAGCCTAACCAGAAATCAAAGAGATGCAAATAAATGAGCTTCCATTTTAGGGTATATAAATTAATGAGCCTATACAGTGCTAGAAAGGGGATATCCACCCGCTCCTAATGGGTATCATAAAGACCTTCAAAACTTTTGCCTTGGGCGCCTGGGTGGCTCAGATGGTTAAGCGTCTGCCTTCGGCTCAGGTCATGATCCTAGGGTCCTGGGATCGAGTCCCGCATCGGGCTCCCTGCTTCTCTCTCTCTCTGTCTCTGTCTCTCATGAATAAATAAATAAAATCTTTAAAAAAAAAAAAAAAAAAAAACTTTTGCCTTTATGTTCCAGGTGTCTCACAATAAGCATGGGTTGCTATTATAATAGGGAAAAAGAAATTAAATGGGGCCACTCAGTAACATATTTCTATACAGTAGCGACTGAACAATTCCTTATGGAACAACCTGCTGCTATGTACTGTGACCCTATCCTTGGCCAGGGGCCCATCTTCCCCTCTCCCTCCCCACCCACTTCCCAAGTGGTAGCCCCGGGTAGGACTTCGGTCAAGGTTATAGAAATTGCATTAATCTCTGCAGGTTCACTTGATGCCACAATCTTCAGGAACATCCAACATTATGATGCCTAAGAGAAAAGGCAAAATACAATTATTCTCCTCTAGTTCGATCTGCTAAGCACTCATTGCCTGAGACGGGTAAGGTAAAGCACCGAGATGAGACAAAAGGAATTACTCTGTACTGTCCCACGAGCCCTCCATGGGCTGGTGCTTTTTCCACATGACAGAAAAAACAGTGTAGGCTGCAAAGCGTCAAAACAGAGTATGTACGAAGAGTATGTCTGCGACCTGAACCAAGGCAAAAGAAGAAAACAAAAAGATTCACAGCTGAAAAGTTTTCACCAGAAAAATCACACTAGAATTCCTTCCATAAACTAAGTAGTGCCAACGTTTGGACTAGACGTTAAGGATTTTTTTCACCCTACTTAGAATCCATCTCCAGCCATGTCTGGAACTATGTTCCCAAGACCTTCCAGAGCACAGTTAAGAATGAAGACCACAAATTGGGTTCAGAGGCCAAATTGGGCAGCAAATATGTCTTATTCTAGCAGGCACAGACTTTTCAAGAAATTTAAAGTCAGTTGCCACTTAAAAACCAGATTTCAGGGCACCTGGGTGGCTCAGTCGGTTAAGCGTCTGCCTTCGGCTCAGGTCATGGTCCCAGAGTCCCAGGATCAGACTGAGCCCTGCATCAGGTTCCCTGCTCAGCGGGGAATCGGCTTCTCCCTTTCCCTCTGTCCCTCTCCGTGCTCGTTCTCTCTCTCTCAAATAAATAAAATCTTAAAAAAAAAAAAAGATTTCACCTACCCACACTGTAGTGGGTGGAATGGTGGCCCCCAAAAAGATATGTCCACATCCTAACCCCCAGAACCTGGAAGGGTGACCTGATTTGGAAAAAGGTCTTTGCAGGGGCGCCTGGGTGGCTCAGTCGTTAAGCATCTGCCTTCAGCTCAGGTCATGGTCCCAGGGTCCTGGGATCGAGCCCCGCATCAGGCTCCCTGCTCCGCGGGGGGCCTGCTTCTCCCTCTCCCACTCCCCCTGCTTGTGTTCCTGCTCTCGCTCTCTCTCTGTCAAATAAATAAATAAAATCTTTAAAAAAAAAAAAGAAGAAGAAGAAAAAGGTCTTTGCAGATGTAATTATGGGTCTAGAGATGAGATCATCCTGGATTATGCAGGTGGGACCTAAATCCAAGGACAAGTGCCCTCATGACAGACGGAAGAGGAGAGACGGGGATAAAGAGGAGCAGGTGATACTGCCAAGAACACCAGGAGCCGCCCGCAGCTGGAAGAGGCAAGCAAGGGCTGTCCCCTAGAGCCTTTAGAAGGTCCACGGCCCTGCCAACACAGTTTTGAACTTCTGGCCTCCAGAACTGGGAAAGAATGTGTCTGTTGTTTTAAACTGCCCGATCTGTAGCACTTTGTTAGGGTAGCTCTGGCAGACGGATACACCCACCAAAACAGGTACTTTCAACTTCACTTAACAAACGAAAGCAAATAGCATAGCAAAAATGGCCGTGAGGACATCCACTTTCTAATCTTTTGAGTTCCCGAACACAGACAGAGCTATTAGGATAGCACAACCAAAACTCACGGACAGCATTTAAAAACACATGAGTGTGCAGCCCCAAGCCCCCAAAGAGGAGCAGGTGGGCACAAGTGTGTCCACCAGCAACTGTGTGAGAGGCAATCAGAAAGCAAAGGGACTTCACACTTCTCATAAAAATACCAGCTGGGGTTCACCCACAAGGAAGGCGTCTCCTCCTCTGAGACGGCAGCACCCAGGAGGGAGCAGGGACCTGGGTAGAGCCAGAGAATGTCAGCGTGGCCAAGCCCGATGAGAGCAAGCAGAACAGAGGCTGCATCCAGGAAAAAGCCCCTCATCAGGGAAAGACTGGAGCAGAAAGCACACCACACACCCATCGCAACACAAGCATCAAGCAACACGGGTGGTGACCTCATGTCTCATTAGTCTCGCTCATTCCCAGCAAAAACTGTGCCTTTGGGAAACTCGTTTGGAAGAAAATAGCTGGCTTCACTATTCTGAAATTGGAAATTAAAAGGGGGAAGCCTGAATTATATCCTCTGAATGATATTTGGTTTTAAGACTGAAATCCACCCCCTAAAAAAATTCCGATTTCAAACTTCATCAAAAGAAGGGCCATCGTTCAGTCTGTTTGTCACTGAAGCCTGGTGGGGTCAAGCTACCGCGGAAGTGACTGAGCTACAGGGCGGGAAGGACAGTGTGCCCAGCACGGCCCCGAGGCCCGCATAGCCCAGCACTACTTGCCCTCAACGGGAGAGCCACTATGTCATTATTCAATCCCTCCTTGGCTAGAATACACGTTTTCTGTTTTGAAAGTGCATAAAACAAATCATCACTCCTGGTAAATGGCCTCAAGACTGGGTTCTGTGGGCACATTACAAAACAGAACACAAATCCCCTATATGCTGGTGAAGGGGACGATCCAGACAGGGCCATCCTGCGCGTCACTGGCCAGGCTGCGCAGGATATGAGGACCTCGGCCCCAGGGCTGAGCCGGGACAAACTCTCTCTTGGGCTAGGGAAAGGGGTGTCTTTGTCTAAAATTCCTAAAACCCTTGACTGCCGGCCAAATGCAACACGGCAACTTCCCCCCTTTTTCTAGCTGGCACCATCAGTGGAAAGGTACTGAGGGGGCTAATGGAGGCCCTCCAACCAGGTTTCAAACTGAAGGAAAACATATTACGAAAGAAACCCAATGGTGAGTGTTACTTATGTCTATACTATGGGCTTGCCCCTCAGTTTAGAAGAAATCTGCCAGGTCTGAATGTTATTTCTGGCTGTCACCACCGCCTGGTCTCTTGTGGGCACTGAATGTGCCGGCCCTGCGGGGGATCCACAGACCGTGCGCCTTTCTGCACTTTCCTCCTGTCTTCTCGTCCTCCACATTGCTCCCAGCCCTTGGAGACGATTCCAGAAAGGGGCTCCAGAGCTGAAACAACTGCCCAGCAACTCTTTTCCAGAACCAAGGTTTGAAAATGAAAACAAAGCCAAAGACGTGAGCTCCACTAGGTTCAACGATGAGGCTCGCTTGGTCATCTTGATCTCAGGGGCTCAATAAATGTTTTGTGGGTAAATAATTTATTTCAGTTGTCTAAATTAACCATCTATATTGCTGTATCTTTGCAGAGTTTCTAGAATATCTAAACCAGTGGTTTTCAATCCCAGCAGTGCATTATAATTACCTGGGGAGTTGTTTTTTTTTTTTTAAAGATTTTATTTATTTGCAAGAGAGAATGAGAGACAGAGAGCACGAGAGGGAGGAGGGTCAGAGGGAGAAGCAGACTCCCTGCCGAGCAGGGAGCCCGATGCGGGACTCGATCCCGGGACTCCAGGATCATGACCTGAGCCGAAGGCAGTCGCTTAACCGACTGAGCCACCCAGGCGCCCTCCTGGGGAGTTTTTAAAAGTGGTACGGCACATTCTAGACCAATTAAATAAAAATCTACGGGTGAGAACCAGGCATCGGTATTTTTCAGGGCTCCCTGGGAAATTCCAATACACAGCCATGGTTGAGAACCACCGAGCTAAACCACTAGATAAAAGAAAGAACAAGAAAACCCCACTATTTCCAAACTAACTAGTCGAGTCACCAAAAGGTTATAGAAAATGTTGAAAAAGGTCTGAAAAAAGCCTGAACTCCTTACTAACAGGCAGCCTAGGACATGCCCCAGAAAATGCTTTGCAGTTACCCAATTTCAACCTTCATGCCTGTCTAGTAAGATACATGTAATATGACCAAGCAAAATGTACTTGGCCGTATCGGGGTTCCTCAACTGGGGTTGACAACATATGGTGTGAAGGACAGTCTTGTCCCTCACAGGACTTTGGCAATCCCAGTCATACACATTACGCGTGGGTAGTCCCCCACTTTGTCTGAAGAGAAAAAAAAAAAAAAAGACCCCACACTCCCACTGCCCAGGGATAGAAGTGGGGCAGGCAATACAGTCCCTTGAGAACTACTAGATGCTCCATAGGAGTGAAAATAAGCCTGGGGTCAGAGCATGCCCAAATGTGGGAACACAAGACTGCAAAGTCCTAAGTGGCTACAAAATCAGAAAATTTGAAAGCGAATTCAAATGCTAAAAGAGATATAATCACACGGCTTTCAAGTACGCATGGTAATA